ATGCTGGATACTTCCCGTTCAGAAATAAGTCTGACATTGACTTGACAAGGTATGGAATTTACAATTCAATCGAAACAATTGTCAATGAACCTTGTATTCTTACATGTCTCAGGAACTCTGGTCTTGTTACAGATGAGAAGATGAAGTATCTTGAGTCATGTGTGAAGACAAGGTACATTCTCAGAGGTCAATTGCAAAAGTTGCACCGTTGGCAAATGTGAATATCCGAGTCAACATTCCGACTGAGAAAGGTTCTTCACATGACGACTATGTTGTTGACAAAGACTTACCATGGTTGAAGATTGTATTGTCCACAACCACTTCATGTTGAACGAAAGTCTTACAAACCATTGTTCGGAAAAGGCAAGTGCAACATTGTCAGAGCTGTTAACATTCTTTTCGGAAAGGTTTGTTGGAACCAATTCCAGATGACAAGCTGACAGAAACTTTTGTACCAAAAGACGAAACAAACTTTTCATTGTTACAAGACCAAAAGTTGTTCCAGACAAAGTTATAGCACAAAAGAAGTACACAGTTCCAAAAGGAGTTGGATTGTTCGGATACCAACCCTGAACCAGAAGAACTTCCAATGAGGTTGCAAGAACTTCAAGATGCTATAAACAAACTTCCATTGAGACATCCAATGACGTAATTGTATTGGAGAGCATCTGAGTTAGGTCAGAAGGTTTTATATGAAACAGGTTGCTTCGACGATGTTTATGAGATAACAGGCGAGAAGTTTCTCAGAAGATAAGAGACTCACTTGAATTTCCACGAACTGGACCCATTGGTTGCGACAGTTCGACTCAACGAAAAAATATACTATGTCGACCTTAACGCTGCGTACATGAGGTTTGTCCAATATATTCCGACTGGAATTCCAAACGAAGATGGTGAGTTCCCGGGAAGGAACTATACAGTTGGAAAAGTCATACAACAACTCTATGATATTAGGAAAGCTTCAAACCCCAAACTTGCAATGACACTGAAATTACTTATGAATTCGACATGGGGATATTCCATTAAAAAACCTCAAAAGATGAAGAGTAAACACTATGAGAAGGTCGACAACTTTGTTGAAAGGTTTTCTCCTTTTGTTTTGAAGTACGAGTTCACCGAAGGTCAAAATGGCTTAGTAACCACATTAAAACCTATTGTCGAACATTGGTCATACCCTCAGTTCGCAAAAGCAGTCCTTGACAACTACAACAAATTCTTCTCCGAAGTCAAATCCAAAGTTGTGGTTTACTACGAGAACATTGACGCACTCATGACGAACGAAGAAGGATACAACAAACTCATTGAAATGGGAATGGTCGGTGAAAAGATGGGCTGTTTTAAGCTAGATAAGGTATTTTCCGAAGTTCATGTAATATCGAAAAGGAAATATTGGGGAATACTTGAAGACGGCACAGAAATAAAACATTGCATGAAATAAAACATTGCATGAAGTAAAAACATTTTTTAAAAAAAATATTTTTTTATTTTATTTGAAATGTACGCTGAGTTTGTTGGAGACGACCGTTGGGAAACTTGTTTGTTAGATGAGAAATATGAAATTCACTGTTGTGAGTCATTTGAAGTCAGAAACAAAGAGACAAAAAGAGTTTTAAGCGAATGGGAGCGAAATGACGGATATGCTATGATGAAGATGGGTGGGAAAAACTATTTAAAACATGTTGTCATTGCAACTCATTTTATACCGAACTCTAACAATTTACCTTTTGTAGACCATATAAACCGTATAAGAAACGACAATAGACTTGAAAACTTACGTTGGGTCACTTGTTCTGAAAACAATAAGAACAAAAGCAAAATTGGAGATATAGTATTCGAATTTGTCGACGAACTAGAAGATGAAACAATTGAAATTACAGACTATGGCGAGCATACGTTTGAGTTTTACTACTATAGCGAAGAACAAGACTCTTTCTACTTTTATACCGGCGTAAACTATAGAAAATTACAAGTATATTTTACTAAGGCGGGCTATGCTTATGTAAACACTAGAGATACAGATGGAAAACACGTTCTACTTTCTTAACAATTCAAGAAGCTATATGGCATACCATTTTAAAACGTTTTTAAAACAGTATATTTTTACATATATTAAATGCTTCAGGTTGAAAAACAAAGAACAAAAGTAGCAGATACAAAACCGTTAGACTATATCTTTACAAATGCTGGTAGAAATATTTCAGATGAAGAAATTTCATCTGGATCTTACAGGTTTGACTATCCAATTCGTTGGCTTCAAAGTCCTTCAGATGCAAAGGCAATAGGATTTAGAAGAGTTTTGTTTTCAAATAGAACTAACGCTTTTATGTTTGCAGTATATTTTCATGGGCAGTATAAAGGTTCTGATGGTCTAATAGAAAAATTTGACGAAATGAGAATCTTTACAGTTCGTTCAGACGAAAGTCTTGAAAAAACTCTAAATGACTTTCAAACTCAAATAAACAAATACTACTGGGAATTTCAAGAAAAATACGACTCTTTACTAAATGGAACATACTATCTAAAACTAGAATATGACAAGATGAACTCCACAGTTTCATTTCAAAAGATTGAAATTAACCCTTCAAGAGATACAGAGTTTTTATATTGGGGAGTGGACAAACGTTCTTGGGCACAATTTCTTCGGTTACTAAACCAGAACGAACCATTGCCACCAGATGGTCCATTTAAATTTATACTTCCACCAGCAGATTTGACAGTTTATAGAAACGTGTTTGACCCTCAAAATGTCATATGTCATGCAAGTTTCAGTTCAAGCAACAACAGTTTTCTTTGTATTGGTAAGGACTTTTATGACTTTGCTTCTAAATTCTATGAACCACCTAGTAACAGTTTCTCTGACTTTCAAGTTTGGTTCACAACAAACGGTGTGCAGCATATTATACCTTTGTACTATGACTTTTATCTCGAATTGTCTTTCATATACAACTACGGAAAAGTGCTGAAAAAGTATTGAAAAATATATTTTATGGTAGATGGTTTTTAGGTAACCAGGTCACTCGGTCACTCGGTCACTCGGTCATTTTAACTTCTCTGAAAAAGTGTGACAACATGACATTTTGACAACAACACAGGAAATAGATTTCATCGTATATGTTTTGTTGAGATTTCATCGTAATGAGCGTAAATGACCCAAAAATATATTTTAGGTTAGATGGGTAGATCTACCCTCTTTTCTACCCTCATTTCTACCATCGTAGAAAACACACAAAACTCTTGAATTTTGACACTTTCACAAAAAACATAAAAAACATAAAAAATAAAGGTAGTTTTTTAAAAAAATATTTTTTATTTTTATTGTAAGAACATGTCAGCAACAACAGCACCAAACTCGTTAGTCATGAACCCAACATCTATGTTAGTAGAGATGAAAAGCTTCATTCCTTCTTCATATACTTTCGAAACAGAAATCCAGAAGATAAAGCAAGAACTTCTCCAAGGAGATTTAGACTGTAGTGCAAAAGATGAAACAAATGAACAGTATCTTTATGAAATGCAGGATATTATTGACCATTTACCTAAACTTCCTGAAATACAACAACAAAAGCTTACAATTCCTGAATTCGATGAAATAGAAGTGAAACCAACTGACTCAGTTGAAATAAAGAAGTTCATACGTAATGTAAACTATGAGTTTCTTGGATTTCATTGCAACCACAAAGTCATTGACCTATATAAATCTGGGGAGTTTAAGACCTACGACAAATTTGTTTCGTTAGTTGCAAAATGTGTATGGCAGATAAGAGATAAAGATAGAAGAGGTAAAGTATGGAACGGACAAATAAAACCAGCAGCCTTTGAGTTAAAGAAAACCATTTACGCCTTACTTGTTTTAGCAGGACAAATTTCAGAATATAACGCAAAAATGAACCCACAATGTTCAAAATGTAAAGCAGCAATGAGGAGATATAACTACTCCGTCAAAGAGATAGAACGTATGCGAAACGACTATACTGACTTAAAGAAAGAAGTAGAGAAACCAGCAGAAGATAAAATGGACATGTTGACATTTCTAAACAAAAACTATCCAACTGCTAACGATTTCCTTCTATCTGACGTCAAGAAGAAATATAAAGAAACCTTCGGCATAGTTAAAACTTTTGATATCCTTCGTGAAGAAATAGAAGCTACAAAACTGTTTAAAGTCATGAACCATCACAACATATACCATGTAAAACGCTTGTGAAAAAGAGGTTCCGCCTAAAATATATTTTTATTGAATTCTGTATAAAATTCTGAGTAAAATGACATATGGAACACATACTTTTTCAGTAAGGACATATGGGGTAGAAATGAGGGTAGAAAAGAGGTGAGATATACCCTTCTACCCTAAAATATATTTTTGGGTCATTTACACTCATTGACGATGAAATCTCAACAAAACATATACGAAGAAGTATATTTCCTGTGTTGTTGTCAAAATGTCATGTTGTCACTATTTTCAAAAAGATGTTAGTTGACCGAGGGACCGAGGGACCTGGTTCCACCTAAAATATATTTTTGCTGAATTCAATAAAAAAATGACCAAATTTCATGAATTTCCTCATATGTTTGCTACCCCGATTTTTACAGGGGTAGCCTAAAACACATGAAAATCGTAAAAAAACTCATGAAAATCGTGAAGAACAGCGAGTGGGAGAAAAACCCCAGTCGCCAAAACTCTATGAAAATCGTGAAAAAACTCTATGAAATCATATCTTTTATACAAGATAGAAAAAATAAAATTAACGTTAGTTTTTTTAAAATATTTTTTTTTATTTTGTATGTAAGAACAGGAAATGACAAACACTGAGTTTGAAACAGTTAAAAAGATAGACAATGAGACCAAGGTGGTTAGAATAGGTGATTTAAACGTAAGATACTCAAAGAAATACAAAAAATATTCTTTGTCAGACATTTTAACACTATCTGAAGGAAAGAAAGCACACGACTGGGTTAGAAATGCTTCTACTCAGAAAATTTTGACAAGAAATCCTGAGCTGATGATATCGGTAAGATTCTATGGAACAAGAGCATATCTTATAGACAAAAGTCTTATACCAGTAGTTTTGTTCTGGATTGACCCAGTTGTTGGATATAATTTCATAACATATGGTTCATTCGATACTGAACGTTGCAGTGAGGGCTTACTTTACATCGTTCAGAAACCGAAGGACTTCAATACAAAGAGATATAAGATAGGAAGAACATTTAATATAACTCAAAGATATGACAGTATAGTCAATAGAGTTAAGGTTGCGTTTGTTAACGATATGAGAGCTGCTGAAACAGAACTACTTGAAAAGTTTGAGAAATTGTATGGTGCTCCCACGAAAGGTAAAGAAACGTTTGAAGTAGATGAGATAGATAGTGCTATAAAATTATTTGACGAAGTTGCTGAAAAAATACATGTAAATATTTTTGGTCTTTTATACAAGATAGAAAATAACGCTAATTTTATTTTTATTTTATTTTTTATTTTGTATGTAAAGACAGTAATGTCAACATCAGAGAACACAACAACTGCTATCGTTCATGAAGCCATAGATGAAGAATACGAGTGGGTTCAGTATAACAAACAGTTACGTCTCATTCGTTCGGTCAAAGATGACATGTACCAAATGCAAAGTATTTTGAATGCTCTTCGTTCTACAAAGCAAGCACATCATTGGTTTGAAAACCAACAGACAAAAGAACTTTTAGAAGAATTTCCTCATATGTTTGCGTCCCGCGGAAAACCGCGGGACGAGATTCCGTACGAAAATCGTAAAAATTTGCCAAATGGTTTGAAAGGATATTATGTACATAGACTTCTTGTAAATGCTGTTGCAATGTGGGCTTCACCTCGCTATGCTTGTTATATTTTCATGATGTTAGATGAAATTCATAGACAAGAACGTGAAGAGCTAGAGAACAAGCTTGAAGCAAAAGACAAAAACATACAGAAAAGAATACCACGTTCGGTACCAAAAGGAAAGGAAAAGAACTATAAGTATATGATTTACACTGAAGAGATGGAAAATGAAGAAGACAGAGATATGGTTATGTTGCATTTAGTCAGAAGAAACAACAAAAGCTTTTACGACTTAGCTAAGATTTACAAATCTGACAGAAATTGGTTCTATCGCGAAAACTTACCGATTTCAATGACACCGAATGAAGATGTTAAACAGATAGTTCAAGATACTTTACCTCAAACACACTATGATATGAAAGGTTGTACAATACTTACATTCAAAGAAGATTTACCGCTACTGAAAGAAAAAATAACAGAGTATTTTGACAACTTCAAAGAGGAAGAGTAAATGAACCATTTATTTTTCAAGCTTGACACCAAAGATGGCTCAGGTAGCTCTATAAGGTAAATTGTCTTGTCCGAGTCCTTCTGGCATTCCGAGTCCTTCCTTCCAACAGGAAAAGTTTTTCCTTCCTACAGGAAAAAAATTTCCTTCCTACAGGAAAAAATTTTCCTTCCGACAGGAAAAATTTTTCCAGTTGTCCGTCCGTAAACCATTCAAATTTTCGAAAATTGAGAACTTTTTGGTCGGACTTCAGAAAAAGTCCTTCCTTCCGACAGGAAAAGTTTTTCCTTCCGACAGGAAAAATTTTTCCTTCCGACAGGAAGAGTTCTTCCTTCCGACAGGAAAAGTCCTTCCATCCGACAGGACACAAACGAATGTCCGACGTACCACCAACCGAGTCCATTCCAAAGCCAGAAGAACCGACAGCCCCAGCACCACAACAGACTAAGACTCAAACACTTACATTTTTACGCTTGTCTTGAAACAATTTGAACTTTGTTCGCGTAGATATGAATTCTGAAAGAAGTATGAGGGTCTTGTATGACTTTGTACTTCTCCCATAGTTCATGTCTGTCAAACTTACCTGCCATGGACTCTTTCATAAGTTCCATGAAATCGTCTTCGGACAATCCGGGGAAAAGTATGATATCAGTAAGTATTCTCTTTACATCCTTACTTAAACTCTTGGCTGTCTGTACACAAATGACAACTGAAATGTTAAAGTGTCTGAGCTTCTTAAGAATTCGACACATATCTTGTTCTCTGTTCTTTAACAAAGGATGAGAAGCAAAGTCATCTAAGATAAGAAGACATCTGTGAGGGTAAGTCTTCCAATCGTAAGATTGCAATTTCTTCGAAATGTATTCTATCTCTTTCTGTTTGTTTCTGAAGTGTTTCTTCTCTAATATTCTCTGATTTCCTCATTTGGGTCTTTAAACTTAGAATTTATATACTCATTTATAGCATTGTACTTCAAAACTCTTCTTTGGTACTTCTTTATCCAATCTAACAACTCAGAGTCTTTTATACATACTAACTTAGACTTTTTTATAATATCTTTGAACGAATTGACGGTTTGGTCAAATTGACCAGAAGTACTACAAATAACAACTAACTCATAGAATGGGTTCTTCTCATCTAGTTCTTGTTGTTGTGCAGCCATTTTAAGATAAGTGAAAGTCTTACCCGACCCAGGTGGTGCGATTAGACCTGTTATACCATTCTGAGCAAATAAGAACTTGTCATGTATGGGTTTTATCTGAGCATTTTCCAACTTCCTCTTGTTCTTGTTTAAAACATTCTCAAATTTCTTGTCAATGTCAGCAAACTTTTTTTCTAACATATTTTAGAAAAATTAAAATTTTTATCTTTTAGAAAATGTCTAGCGATTTCGCTATCTATATTCGAGACAAGCTTTTCGACAGCAAAACATCTGTCGACCATAAAATCTTACATAGTGTAAACAAGAAAGGGGAATTTGTTCTAAAGTTCTGTTTCTGGGAATATGACAAGAACCATAAAACATTAAGCAGAGCAGTCTTAAAATTTGTCAATGACAGACTTGTTGACAGAGATGACGCCTCTTGGAGAGATGAAGTCCAACAAAACTTCTTAGAATGCAAAGAAGACACATGCGCTGTTCTTGAAAATGAAATAGAAAACAGAATAGAAGAGCTATTAAATGACAAAGCACTTTTACAAAAATATGGTTCTGAGAAGTTTGACATAACTCCACCAGAGAAGAAGAAGAGAGAAAAGAAAGAAAGAAAAGTAAGAAGAAGAGAAGAAAGAACCAGTTCCAGAGAAGGGGAGATATGACATGTAAAATAAAATTTTATTTTTAGAACATTTCTGGGTCAATGTCAATGTTCTCTTCCTCTTTAGGAGCAAACACTGGCTTAGACTCTAAGAGCTTCTTACCCAATTTACCTGAACTTCAACTATCTTAGACTCATAATATTCATAGTCGTCTGCTTTCTTTGGTTCATAAGGTATAACAAGTTTGTATGCTTTGCCTCTTTAAGGTTTGAAAACCTTCTGTCAAAACTTTCTTTGACTGTTAACAAACCTTCTATGTCTAAGTCTTCAAATTTCGCACCATTTTTAGTCACAATAGCAAACTTAACTGGTTCGATGTTCCAAACTTTGTCAAATGTAGACTTTTCAAAATGGTAGAAGTAAACATTCAAATATGTGAATGGGTCTAGTTCTTCTTTAAGTCCTGACATGTACTTGTTTACTGAGATGAATTTCGTCATCTTTTCTATCGGATAAAAAAATATTTTTTTTTAAAATTTACTCAGAAAAATTTTTCTTTGTATATACACCATTCTGTACGTCTAAAAGACTTTTGACATTTGCCAAGAATGTTCGTTTAGACGCTGTCATATAACCATACTCTTGACAATACTGTTTATACGAATCGTACAATGACCTTTCATCTAAACACTCAAAGTCAGTTTCATCTATGAACAGTTCATATACACTCTTGTTTGCTTCTAACAATGTTTGTCTCTCTTCGGTATGTGGAATTTGTCTTGGATTGAACTTAGAAATATCTAATGTCATGAAATATGAGAACAAGTGGTTGTAAAAGTCAGATGTCAAAGTTTCTGCTAAGTCGTCAAAATATTCTGTATCTTGCATATGAGCTTCTGACGTTCTGACAACTACATATCTTCTGTCAGAACTTTCTAACTTCATCGGAACGGCATTGTTTGAAACCATGACGAAGTTTGCAACATTTTCACAAACTCTTTGGCCTTTATATTTTCTTTCAACAACTCCAACTTTGTCTGTTATAAGACTCTTCAAAGCATCTGAGTTCAAAATTTTTGTTGTATCTATACTTTGAAGTTCGTTACATACTATAAGTTTCATATTCTCTATTGAAGAGTTAAATTTACCGCAGATGTTTTCTAAGTTTGTCATATTAGGGTTCGAATAGCCCTCTAACAGTTTGCATAAGATATCTGTAAAGAAAGTGTTCTTACCTGTTCCTTGTTTTCCAATTATGATGAGAGCAGTTTCATTTTTAGCACTTGGATGTTGTAAGATGTTTGCAAACCAACATAAGATATACTCATAGACTCTTTCGTTTCCATTGCATATAATTTCTTTGACATGGTCTAACCAAGCTTCTATAACATTTTCTTTCCATTCTACTTGTTCGTATTTATATCCAGTGAAGATAGAATAGAAGTTTGGAGAAGGTGTATAGAACTTTATACCACGAACTGAAAAATCTTCTAACTTTGACAATAAGATATCCCAAGCATCTAACATCTTCATACCAACTTGTACGACTTTTATTTTCTTAAGTTTCTGTTTACATTCTTGTTCTGAAACTATTGTCGCTTTAGGTTTGTTAAAGACTACATCCCATTCTTTCATGACATAACATTCTGGGGCAGAGTCGACATAAATGACTAAACGTTTCAAATTCTCGACTGCTTTGTTATAGTCTCTAAATGGACACATATTTCTGAAGGCTTGGAAGTCATAAAAATCTGAAACATCTATTCTGTACATTTTTATAAAAATAAAAAAAAATATTTTTTTTATTCTTGACTTTGTTGTTGCATTTGTTCCATTTGTTGCATTTGTTGTTCTTGAGCTATTTGTTGTTGAAGTTGTTCTTGTAGTACAATACTTTCACCAGTTGCATCTTCCAATTCGAAACTTTCTGCCGTCATTGACAAATACATAGGACATAAAAGTTTTACAGGAACAAAGTTTGCGTCAACTAAGGTTAAGTTTATGTTTGCTAAAGTGTTTGAGTTTACTAAAGCTGAAAACTCTGCATTCGAATGAACAATAGGCAAACCAGCAGAGAATGTGTTGTTTATACGCATGAGTATCTTTTGGTCATAGTAGTTTCTGTCGACATTCGAATAGCACTTTGAACCTAAGTTTGAAAACAATATATAAAATAGGTGTACTTAAAGTCAATGGAACAGATAGACCTTGTATGACACCTTTTCCTGTTATAGGAAACTGTTGGTAGTAAAAACCAGATATAAGTTTTGTATTATAGCTCATATCGTTTATAGTAAACTCAGTCGGACATCCAAACATAATGAAACCTGCTCTAGTTGCAGCACATGTTACATCCGTCCTTAAAGTATTAAATAAGTCAACAAAACCTGTTGGTGGTATATCTGAGTAAGTATCTTCAAAGGAGTATTTTTTACCATTCACAACAACAAAGTCTTCTGGTGTCAAAAGAGCAAACAGGCTTTAGTCGTCATCGTGTTTAAGGTCAGTTTACAATATCGTCCTTGAGGACTTTGTAAGTTTGTTGTTATAGAATTATATGACTCAGGGTTTTTAGTCGTAATAGTATAAACCACTATGTCTTCTGCCATTTACATATATTTAAAAGTTTTTCTGAAAGTGGAGAAGAACTTCATCTAAACTTTCACATGGCGTTTCTTGAAGTTCTCTGTCTAAGAAGTTCAAATATTTTGTAAAGACATAGAACTTTCCTTTGTCTACACGAAAAACAAACACAGGTCTTTCATATCGTTCAAAAGTGTGTAAAGTCCTTTACATGAAATAAAGTCTATATTATTTTTCTTCAAACATCTTTCAAGAAGTTTTGACATTTACTTAGCAACTAAATTTTAATGAAATGTTGTGGTCGTCAAATATTTTTATGACGTCTGGGAAACTATATTTTAAGTTCAACGTTTCACCTCCTTTCATAACGTAATATCTTGTCAATGATATTATATGAAACACCACAGCAAGCAATGTCGGGTTCTATTTCTTTGATGTTTATCGTCTGCCTCTGTCAAAAGTTTCAATAGTTCTTTCAAAACTTCATGAGGTGCGATGACATATGAGTTCACTTTTACAGGGTTGTGTTCGACCAAGTTTAACAATTATACCTAAAGCTTGACAAATCTTCTCCTGAGTTTTAAGCTTATCTTTCAGTTGTTTTAGTCATTTCGAATATCTGCAACAGAACTTAAGTCTCTGCTAACTTCAGGATATGTTGGTTGTTCTTTTACAGGAACTATTGTTATACCATCTTCGTCTTCGTATGGTTTCCCCACTTCAACATCTCTTTCTTTGACATTGACACAACACTTTGACTGTTTGTTTGAGTTGGTGAATTTAAACTTCACATCTGCCACCGCCATTAAACCTTTTGAAACACTTACGCTTCTATTTTTCGGAAATGACATTTTACTTAGAATAAAAAGATGGACGTATTTGAGTATCTCTTCGAATTGAAGCAAAACAAAGTTTACACACACAAACAATACAAATACACTGATAGAATAGTTCTTTATACAAACAATGGAAAATGTTATAGAATAGCAATATTTGCTGAACCAAAATATTTTCATAAAGCAAAGAAAGTTGGTATACTGAAATGGTGAAAGTTCTTGACGTGACAAAAATATAACAACAAAACTGACCGATATTTCTAAAGGTAAGTTTATAATACAATACTATGTCAAAACTGGCGTACTGTCAATATTTGACGGAGAGAAGTCAGTTCAAGAACAACTTACTGACCTGCTGCCAAAATCTGCTCGATGGAAGCTGTCGTTATACCAATCTGAGGAGCCCCAGCAGGTTTCATCGAACGAATCTTTCAAAAGAGCATCTTCCGTGAAAAGTGCTATTGGTTTTGTAAACTTCTTTGCTTTCAATTCATCTGGACCGTCTCTGTCACCAGTATATTGTATTTGAACTGTACCAACAGTTGAAATACCACCCATAAAGTCTTCTGAGTCAGCAAATGGAATGCCAAGCCAAAAGTTTGAACGGTCTCCATTTGTATATTGAGTTTTTTGACCTCCTGTATGAGTCCATACTTTCACATATGGCATAATAGAACTTTGCATTCAGGGTTAATGGTTGTTGTGAAGTTGTTGTTAAAGTTCATAGCATCTAATGTCAAGTTGTATGACCTCATATCCTCAACTGTAGAATATTCTTCTCTTGGATAATATTTGCCATCTATGTTTATATGATATTTAATACCAGGGTTGTAGAAACAAGAATAGTCATTTATAGTTCGTCTGAACAGTAAAAACATAGTATCTGCATGTTTCATTGCAGTTGTTAAAGCAATATCTGTTCTTGCACCTGGTTCAGCACTTTGGTTTCCAACTTCACCTGCAAAGTCTTTGACAGATATTTGGTGTATAGGGAACATAAGTGGAACTGCAATATATTTGGCAGCTAAAGCATTTGAAATATCTGGGTCCAACATATAGACTGCAAGTCTGCTTTCTATTCTCTTGCATTCAAATTTTTCGCATGTGAACTTAACTGGGTCCCAAGCAGTTCCAGCAGCATTGAAATAATAGTTTACTTCAGTGTTGAAGTTTGAGAAACCAAAGTCTAAGTCAACTTTGTCTTTGCAAATTCGCGAATGACGTTTGATTTGCTCCCTTACGTCTGTAAGAGTGAATGGGTCTTGTGTTGGTGCAATGACTAAGTTATTTTTGCTTGGGGTGAGTTCGATAGAAATTTTTCCTGCCCAGTTTGGCAAGTATCTTAAAAACCTGAAGATGAGGAAAGATGACAAAGGAACTCTAAGTTTCAATTTTACTTTGGTTACTGCTGCTGCAGTTTGTCCAGAAAGGTTAACATAAACTCCTGGAACGTTAGGGTCAAGTCTTCTTATTTTCTCAATAGTTGCATACTGGTCTGTTTGTTCTCTAGCTTGTGGTTGTACTGAGTTCTCAAAGCGAACCATTCATAGTTTGCCCAGGTTACTGTTTGAACTAAGTCAGAGTTAGAATATATCTTATATCCCATGAAAACTTCTGGAGCATATTGGTATCCGACATAGAAAAATTCCATTGCAACCTTTCTTGTCAGACAACTTGGCAGAAGTTTTATATTTCAATGTCTTGTTCCACGTATAAGAAAGAGTTGTCAATAGATAATATGAACCTGTCGCAAGCAATATCTACTGTTGTTGAAGAACCTTCTCCAAACTCACCTACGTTTCCATAAGAAACAGCAGTTGTATATTCGTAAGTTCCAGGAACTATTTCTGACCTTCTAATGGCATTGTCGCATTCGTTATACCATTCGGAAACATTTCCATTCATAGCATCCAAACACTGTTGGCGTTATATTCTGAGCGGCGTACATTTCATATGGGTAAAAATAGAATAGTTGGATTTATATGTCATAATAGAACCCACGTGGACCAAGCTTTACTTTCTTCCTGACTGAGTTTTTAACTCTTTCTTTTTCCTTCATTGCCACTACTTTCACTAGATGAAGTTACTTCTTCTACTTTTCTCCAACTCTTCTCTTTCTTCTTTGGTGTCGCTTTTGGTAACTTGCCCTCTGCTTCAAGTTGTTGCATCTTTGCCTCATGTTCACCTAGTATGTTGTAAATTTCCCATGTCCTTTTTGCCTTTTGGCTCTGTCGCATCTCAGGTAACCTATATCCTAGAAAGAGTTTGTCATAGTTTGTATTGAGTCGTCGCTTATTGTTTGCATGACTCTTTTCTGAGTTTCCGGTTCAAGCTCTTCAAACAGAGCCTGTCCATATGGAATAAGCTCGTTTCCAAATATATGTTTTTGTAGCCATTCTGGTTTTCTTTCCATGTTACCAACTATATCTTTTGTGAATGGGAAAGCTTTTACCCAATCTTCAGTCTTGCGTCATTTATTTCTGTAGTTGGTTTATTTTGTCAAGGAAATGTTTTTCAATACTAACATTTCATTTGGTACTGTCCATTTGAGTTTTCTTAAATATTCATCCCTTCTCGGTTCAATCGTCTGCAAAGTAAGTTTTTATGACATTTTGTAAACTTCGTTTGCAAGGTCATGTACAATAGGTTCTCTTCCTTCTCTCTCCTAACTCTCTTTCTAACTCTTCACCAAATATACCATCTCTATGTTCTGTGTAGTTTCTTTGAGATAAATGTTCTAGAACGTCAGGTGTTATATTTCCATCAGCCATGTTCATTTCATACTGGTCCAAAATATCTGCATCTTTCATATCTTTCAATGGCATTAAAGCCGCGCTTAAAATACCAGCTATATCTGGTTCACCATTCACTTCCATTGCGTCTACAACTTCTTGGAATTGAGGTTGTAAGTTTATGAACCACCTATCCGGATTAGCTTTATGACCCCATCTCATTGTAGTTCCATAGTCTGCAGAAACAAAAGTAGGTTTGTTTCCATCTTGGTTAGGTTCTGAATGAACTTTAAACAATGTTTCATTTCTATATGTTTTGTTGAAATTTAACCTTTTATTTTCACCGAGTTCATCCGAAGATTGAACGTTAAATGCTCGTAAGTAAAAAGGGTTGTTGTATTTATGTACATTTTCTTTCAGTACTTCCATTCTTTGCTGAATATTTTCATCTGGTGTTGGAGTCTTTTGTATGTCGGCAAACATTTTTCGATATTCTTCTACTATGTCAGCCGAATTTTTTTTAGACTCTTGGAAATATTCCATATTCTCCGCATACTCTTGTTGAGGGTCAAGATTTTTCGGCTGTTCCAAATCTTCATCTAGTTCTGTGAAGTTAGTTTCCAAAGGAGTGACTTGTTCGTTTCCTTCAGGCTCTTCTAGCTGTTGTTGCTGAACTATTTCTTCCATGTCTGGTTGTATCTGAACTTCTTCCTGTGGAGTTTCTTGTACCTCATCTGGTGGCATTTCATATATTCCGAGACCGTTTTTAACAAGTTCCCTTTCTAAGTCATCCGGACTCATAAACCTTTCTTCTTTCGTTCCGTCTCTATTTTTTACGCGTTTCATGAAGAGAGTTAAATTGTCATTTAGCTCTGACATCAAATATCTCGGAGTAAATTCATCCATGTCATTTGGATGATATGCTATTAAATCATATCCCTTAGCGAGCTTGTATTTTCCAGGTTTGAGATTATATCCCCTTTGGTGCAGAGCCATAAAGCTAAATAGGTTCGGGTCAGTATTTCCATCCTTGAACTTTCTAATAGCTTCTTTATATCTGTCACTAAAGTCAATAGTATCTGGGTAACCATACTCTTCCTTCAGCATTTTTAAGAATTCTTGGTTTCCTTGTTCTCTACTTCTTTTATGTCCTTGCTCTGTTTGTGGTTGTTGTTGTGTTGGTTGTTGTGCTGGTTGTTGTGCTGGTTGTTGTGTTGGTTGTTGTGCAGGGTTTTGAACTGTTGGTTGTTGTGCTGGTTGTTGTGCTGGTTGTTGTGTTGGTTGTTGTGTTGGTTGTTGTGTTGGTTTTGGTGCATGCCTGTGTCTGTGTCCATGTGACGATGTAAATGTTTTAGGTAGTCCTGGTGCAGGTGCTTCTCTTGGAGGGTTTGGTGGTATATAAGTTCCACCAGCTGGCACATATGTTCCATCTGCAGCGTAATGTCCTACCTGACTTTTCGTTCTTAAGAAAGCATTTACTAGGTCTGTTTTGGTCTGTTGTAACTCTTTTTCTTGACTTTTCACAACAGTTGCTCTAACGGCGTCATAGGCACTTTGAACTGCCTGTCTCGTTGCTGCATCTGTTATTTTCGTCATATTTTGTGCTACTTCTTTTAACTCTTTGTCGAAACCTTCAGACTTCAGTTTCTTTCCAGATGAGAAGTCGTTCACTAGTTTCACCTTACTATGAAGAGCTTCGAAGGCGTTCTTAAAGTCAGCATTCGTTAAAGCTTCATTTGAACTGTCTTCATCCGCTTGTATTTTTGTCCTTATTGACCCTATGAGCTGGGCTGCTTTAGCGTTGGCTTGGGCATCTAACCAGTCATTGTTAGCTTTTATATATTCTGTGCTTTTCATTGCCTTTTGCATAGCCGCGTCGTCATTTTTACTTTCTTGTGCTAAGTTTTCATACTGTACGGTTTGGTTTTGCAACTGTAAAAGTTTTTCTGCCTTTACATTTGCTTCAACTTCTTTTTTATACTCATCGCTATCCATATATGTCTTCAGGGCTTTTTGTTTTATCTCTTCATCTTTCAGTACTTTATATTGAGTAGTATGGTTTTTCAAATTTATGACATCTTGTTCCATTTTTGCTACTTCTGCTGCTTTTTCTGACACTTTTTTCGCATATTGCTCTGTACTTAGTTCTTTCAGTTGTTCTTCTTTCTTCTTTTTCTCTACGTTTAACTCATTGAGTTTCTTTGTGTGTCTGTCATATTCTAGTTTCTTTTCGTTTTCACTTATTTGCTTCTGTATGTCTATGTTTGACTTTTTGACATCTGCTATTTGATTTTTGAGCGAACTCAAATTCATTTGACTTTGAGGGTTATAGGCTGTTCCGTCTGCAGCTCCACCATAGCCTGCCATTTTCGCTAAAAGTGCCGCTCTTAAACCTCCACTCTGTGCACCAACAACTCGGTTTAAAAGCATAGGATTGCTTGACATTTGTTGCAACATAGTGGGGTCATTCAGCATTTGTTGTTGCAACTGTTGTTGTGGTGTCAGTCTTACTATTGGATGTTTCAATGTTCTCTTCCTCTTACGTATATTCTTACGTATCTTACGTGGCATTTAAGTGAAGTTAAAAAGCGGTTTTTGACAGATGTTTATATGACACTTTCTCCGGTTTATAGGAACTCTCTCATATTCTATCTTGTTTTAAAATGGAGAAAAGGCTTCTCAAAGTATACTTCTTTGGAACGCCCGTAACTTTTCTGTAGCGACGATAGACCCTTACTTGTCCGGACATAGTTATACTATTTTTTTACCGAAAAGTCAACAGCAACGACTTTCAAAAATTTTTAGGGCTAGAAGGCACGAAGTGCCTGGGAAGCCCCCTTCACCCAAAAAAACCTCATTTTATATAAACTGCATTTTATACTAAAACATCTTAGGGGCTAGAGGGCACGAAGTGCCTGGAGGCCCCACTCCCTTTTTTTTTTTTTTTTTTTTTTTTTTTTTTTTTTACTACTGTTAAATAATCAATCAAATTGTTTATTTCATTCTGTATTTTCAAAAATTATCAGTTTCAGTTCAATATGTTTTAAATCGTATAATGGATTTGAACAAAAATATGAATGATAATAGCAGGACCTCTAGATTTATATCACAATCAAAATTATATCAAGATTATAATTAAAAACCTTTCAGATTTTTGTTTTTAAACTATTGAATTTTCTAATTTATCTAATCTGCCAACAAAACAACTTATATGGGTTCAAGATCCAAGATTTATATACATTTAACGAATGAATGCATAGGATGATAACTTTTCAAAAACAGTAGCGGAAGGATATGACATATTCTGGGCGGTCTCATTTTTATATCAATTTTTGACATTCCAATTTAAAAAGTGACAATGGTCTCAAATTTTAGTCCGTTGAAATAAAGTTTTCACAATTACCAATCCATATTCATTTTCAAATCAAATTTGTTGAATAAATCTAGTCTTTTACGTAAAAAGTGTCAGATTTACTTAACAATGGGAAAAGCCACTCTTGTATTCGATTTTGGCAGTGACACAATAAAGGCAGGTCTTTCTACATCAGAAAAACCGGATTTTATTATTCCTTCCGATTTTCCTGAAGACAATATAAACTTTCCAATAAATATGCCATTGCCTGCGGATAAAAAACTCAAAAAGGCAATTGCAAACGGTGAAATAGCTTGTAAAGAAAGAATCGCATTCATTATCGGCTCAGTTTTCGATAAACTACTTGGCGAGAATGAACCAGATGAATTACGTGTTGTTTTAACGGAAACACCATTTTCATCGTTAGAACACATTAAATACCTTTCAGACTTTTGCTTCGATTTACTCGAAGCTCAGGCAATTTCGATTAAGCCACAAGCCTATTTCACAGCTATTTCATATGCTATTAATACATGCATATGTCTTGATATTGGTCACGATGTAATGCAATGCATCCCATTAGTCGATGACTACGTTATTCCTCAAGCAATTAAAAGATCATATCTTGCTGGCCATTCATTAGATTTATTTACAGCGCGTCTCACTCTTGATATGGACCAAATTAGTACCGGTGAAGATCTTAAAAAAGTCAGGGAAATGAAGGAAACAAACGCAGAAGTTCCATTACCAAATCTCCGAAGCAAAATGGCATCAATTGAAGATAATGAGGATCTCATGTTTAATTTAACATGCGGCGAAACTTTGTTCCGACCAGCTCTTAATGAACAATCCGCTTCTGATCCAGATAATCCAACGGCCGATCCAGAAATATCCCAGTTTATTGAATCTCTTAGCGCCGCGGAAATTATTGCCAAGTCCATTGAAGCTTCTGATCTTCCAGCAAGAGGAGAATTATGGAAGAATATTATTTTGACTGGAGGAACTTCAAAGCTCAAAGGACTCAAAGAAAGATTATTAAATGAACTTACTGAGCTTAACCCATTAAACGCTAAGCCAAGAATGTACTTCCCAGAAGATCCAATTACTTCTTGCTGGAAAGGTGAAGCTTTGAGTGCAAAATTTGATGCAGAGGAGAACTGGTTATTCGCTGAACAATACAAAGCTGATCCAAAGGCAGTTTTCGAGAAATTCAGATTATTTGGAACTTCTTTCGCTCCTCCAAAATAAATTTTTGTATATTTAATAAACAATGTACAAAATGCGTTTATATTTTTTTGCGTAAATTACATTTTCCAACCATATTTTTTCTGAAATTCGGAAACAAAAGAGAATCGCTCATTAAATGATATGGAAAATTATAGAAATAGAGGGGAAAAAATCGTAAGTAAATAATGATATTAATAGGTAAACAAAAAAAAATATTAAAAAAAAAACTTGAAACTTTTAAATAATCATAAGTTTAGCTTAAGCAGCTGCATTGGAACTTGTAAATTTGATAACTGGGGATTTAAAGGTATCATTAGACTGGAAGATTGTATTGATTTCTTGATTATAATCGCAATTATTATTCAAACTATGATCTTCTTGGAATTCATCCTCGTTTTGGTAGATTTCTATTTTATAATTTGTAATATTGGCATTCACATCGTCTGATTGCAAATTCAATGCTTGGCAAGCCTGGTTAAAAATTTTTACAAATGTTATCTTATAGCTCGATAATGTAAGTTTTGTCGAGTCCTCATCTATGTAAACTATAGCTGATACATCTCCTTCTGACATTCTTTTCTTCTGCTTGAAAAAAAAATGTGGAAAATTTATATGGCAAATTGAAGCCCATGGTGAATTAGTCAGAAATTTTGCCTCGCTTTCTTATGTAAAGTAATGTGTTTACATGTCAGAAATCTGACTTTTTTATGGAAAAATTACTATGTAAAGTGATATTTTTTACATGTCAGAAATTTTAATTTACAATGTTTCAATTTCTCTTCTTTTCTTTTATCTCAGCAAAGCTTCTTCCTAACGAAGATCCATATAAGATCTTAGGAGTTTCGAAACTCGCATCCATGGATGAGATTAAAAAAGCTTACAGAAAATTAGTTTTTAGTTGCCATCCAGACAGGCATAAGGATGAGGATTCTTATCATATGTTCATCAAGGTTACAGACGCATACGAAATATTATCAGATCAAGAAAAGAAAATGCAATTTGATCGCGATGGTCGCATCAAAGAAAAAACTAATCAAAGAGAAGATACAGGATATACAAGAAACGAACCTATACCAATGATCAATCAACATATCTTCCCATCTTTAGCTAGAGATGGAAGCGAATGGATAGTACTTGTTACACAACATTTCGATTGTCCAGAGTGTCCAGCTCAATCACAAATCTTTGATGAATTCGCTAAAGATATCAAACAATACGTAAAAGTCGGAAAGTTGGATGCATCTGCTTCTCCTTCGATGGTCGAAGCTCTTGGAGTCAAGACTTTGCCAGCATATTATTCAATTCGATACGTTAACGGTACGGTACAAGGAAAGAAGATCGCAACTACATTTAGATCAAATGAACAAGCAATTGAGCATATTTTCAAGTTTTGGAAGTCCTCCGTTAAGAAGCTCCATGGAAAAACTCAACTTGATAACTGGCTTGAGCTAGATTCCACAAAAACTCACGTTTTAGAAATAACTTCAAATTCTGGAGTTTCTGTTCATTTAAGATACGCAGCATCACAAATAAATTCATACGCTACATTCGCTTCAATCGCCGAAACCGAAGAAATCAAGACTCATTATGGAATTCGAAAATCTCCATGTGTCTTGATTTTCCGCGGCCATCGAACACAACCAATACAAATACAGACAAGTGGAAGACATCTGCTTGACGATATCGAAGAATACTGCACTCCTGTGTTCCCAGAGATTAATAGAGCTAATTACAAACAAATTTGCAATCCTTGGTGCGTCGCATCAACAGAAATACCCAATACAACATATATCGATACTATTTACGACGGACCTTTCAATACAGCGCTATTACGACCATCATTTTCCAAATCTCTTGGAATTAAGAACGGATGGGTAGCTATTGATGGAAATAAATTCATGACTATCGATATCAATAGCCCTGATGACTTACTTTCCGTTTGTTCAAGACTTTACAGAAATGATGGATTAAAAGACGAAGGAGAGGTCATTAAAGACGATCCTGTATCAAACATAGTTGACCAAATACTTTCAGTATTCTCTGGAATCGAAATTTCCAATGGAAAACTCGTTTTGACTTGGATTCAAATTGTTATTCCACTTCCTATCATTTTCGGACTTGTTGTCGTCATATTTGTGTTCTTATTCATCTGTGGAATGTATGACCACACAAGAATCGAACCTTCTTCGTCATCAAAACCGGATAATTCGAAATCTTCCCAAAAGTCAGACCAAAAGAAGCCAGACGATAAAAAGACACAAGAACCGAAATCCTCCGAACAAAAAGAAGAAAAAAATAAAACTGATTCTGATAAAAAATCAGAAGAAGGTAAAATAGACCAAGATAAGTCTGAAGAAGACAAATCTGATAATAAGAAACCTGTTCAAAATAAAAATTGTGAAGATAAGAAAGATTTGGATGAAATTAAGCCAAAATCTGAATAAATGTATAGAGTATACTACTTATTATTTATATTTTTACTAAACAAAACAACAAAATATAAAAATTAAACAAAATTTTCAAATAATTTTTTTCTGATTTGGTTTTAATCCAAAGTTTATGATATGAACTTTGTGGTATTCGAATTTCTGAAGCTTGTCTTTCTTTTCTTTCGAATGAAATATTATTTTTGGATTTTTTTGTTTTCATTGACCAAATCAGTATAAAAAATTACTACTAGTAAGAGTTACATGCAATCATATATTAAACATGTAATTATTTGTTACTTTTCATTATAATATTAAATATCTTCAATTTGAATCGGTAAACATTGATGGGAAGAGTAAAATTGCTGTATTTCGTGATATTTGTTTTCCTTGAAGATCAAATGATTGAGAATTTTTATTTGTGAAAATTGGGAAATATGTGTACTGTGAATCAATAGTTTTTGGATTTTGCTTTGGAAACCATGTTGTATCCTTTGTATTTGGGCATTTAAAATCTGGTAATTTTTGTGCTAAATAATTTTGCAAAGGAATTAGTTCTCTTTTAACTGGAACCTTTTCTTGGGTTTGCTTTATTTCTTTGACTTCTGTTTTTTCATGTTTTTCTCTATGAATCGGAGGTTTATGTGGTTTTGCTTCAGTTGGCTTTGGTTCTTTCTCAGGAGGCTTCTTTATTCCAAGAGATTTAAAGTATTCCTTAACAAGTGACTTGCAAGTAGAAAGATGATGATATGGTTCCCAAGTCATGTCTTTAGGATCATCATAGCCGACCCATTTCACATGATATGATAGTACGCCATCAATATATCCATAATTCAAGATTTTTTCTACTTCGTATTCTTCTTGTTCTTTCGAAGAAGCCATATAAAAAAAATTACCAAAAAAACAATTCAAAAATCATTTAAAAAAGCTAATGTAATGTATATATAGATACAAGATTGTTTGATTTTTGATTGGTTTTTTTAATCATTTTTATAAAACGAAGAAACAAAAAGAAGATTTCCTCAGTAAATTAGCCACATTAGTAAAAAAAGATTCATCAAAACCATCAACAACGGCATCACATGACAAAGAAGAAACTCAAACTAAACTAGGTCATCCAAATCCAGTATTAGTCAATGCAAAACCTGCCGAACCTGAAAAAAAGAATAAAATGCAAGTTATTGAGCCACTAAAACCTACAAAAAGAGAACATGCTGTGAGTATTAATGCTCAAAATCCTCGAAGTTTCTTTGTATCAGCATTGAGTCAATCTAGACCAAAAGAAAAGCCATTGAGTGCATACGATAGGAGCTCTCAAAGCTCTCCTATAAGGAAAAGTCCATTTTCTTTTCCTTCACATAATTATCCACCAAATTATATCAAAGACGAAGATGTTCCTGACCAAGGAACACGTTTCATTGTAAAAGGATACCAAGATGTTACATTTGTACTAATTTGCGTATCAAAGAGTGGTCAATACGTTTTATACAATCTAAATACATCTTCTGTAGAATGGAGATATCCTAGCGAGCTAATAGAAATTGGTGGCCCAATAGATTATGGATTAGTTGAAGATTAATTTTTTTGTTTGTAAATATTAAAGTTTAAATTAAATTTTGTATTATATAACGAAAAAGCATAGTCTATGTACGCATGTTATTTAAGAAATATTTATTTTTAATGATAATTTTCTTGGAAAATATAATTTTTCCTTTATTTTACACATGAGCAGCTTATGAACCATATTATATTGACCTACATGATCATATTTGCATTGTAATTTAAAGACATAATTAATGACGACTGAATATTGCGATGTACTTGGCCATGCATGGTATAACAGATGCTGGCGTCAGTATGTGCCAGATTTCATCATACACTGTGCTGAAGGTGTAGGTGGCTTTATCAATATCATTTTCATTGGTTTATACTGCGAACTTATTCAAATTGCATTATATTTCATGGATTTCGAAGAAATTGACGAATTAAGATATATTTTCGAAAAGGTCCATAACTTACTCGTAGTTCCTCTTTGTACAATTCTTGGTCTATACATGTTATTCAAACAAAAGAGACCATGTGGCATTCCAGGTACAGATAAGACAATCGGACCATCATATGGAATGCCATCAGGTGACGCTTTAACAGCTGCTTGCTTTGCAGTTGCTTATTTCAAATTTAATCCATACATTTCAATATTTTTGATCCTTTCAGTCGCATTTTCACGTGTATTTCGTGGGTTCCACTCTATCTTACAAGTTTGCGTCGGAACATTCATCGGAATTTGCTACGGACTTGGAGTTTTGTACGGAGGCTCCATTTTCTGCATCTTCAACTGGGCTGTTGCGGCTACTCTTCCTTTCAATACTATGTTTGATAAAAATATGAAAATTCAGAAAAAACACGATCCATTTAACTTTACAACGTGGATGTTCAGCAATACAGGAATGTGGCTTATCGACTTTATGACTTCTGCACCAAAAGAGATTGATATCTTCGAAAAATACGGAAAAAGAAAAATGTCAATAATTGCAATCACAATTACAACAATTTTACGTGTTATTCAATATATTGGAGCGGAAGAAGGTTGGATATTAACATTTGTTTAAGTTTATTCTTTAAAATTTCTCTATCACTAAAAATTATATCATTATGCGCTTTTTTACCATGCAATTATATCAAGGATTAGTAAAAATGCTTCTGTTTGAATGAAATTCTATATTTTTATGAAATTATTAACTAGTTCTGAAATTGATTTTGTTCTTACAGAATTTCTCCTACTTAGAGTGAGACTGAAATGTTTAAGAATGCATCTATGACTTAATATCTCAGTACATTTCTTTCTTATTAAATTGCACCCAAAATATGAGTTAATAATATGGTTTTATTCTAATATTGGGTACTTCCTATGTGGTATTGAAGTATGCAAAGTACAGTAAATATATGTATGCGTTTCATAGTCGACAACTCCTAATTTATATGATTGATTATTAAAATATATATTGAAAGGAAATTTCATTGATATGTTTCCAGAGTAAATTTGACAATGAGATTATTTCAAGTGTAAATTTCGATTTTAAAAATATTTTGGATCTGTTGTAAAGTTACGGTATCGTGAAAAGCGAAATCAGTCATGACTCTGGATTTCGAACAAATTGGTGCTCATATCAGTGATTATATTAAAAAAGGAAACTTTTTTGATTCATACGATATAGGAGATATCAAAACAATAATGAAATATTCACATTTGACAGCTAATGAGTACTGTGACCTTCTCAAGCAGTCCCATTCAACTATTAATGCAAGAAAATTATATATGAGTACACGAAAAGCAAGTGTTACTGTCCAAAACTTGGAGGAAGTTGTTTCAGTTCTTAATTCTGTCAAAAAATATATGAAATTCCATATTTTTGATGGAATTATCGATTTTTTGAATCAAGGACAAATCCAAAATCAACCACAAATGCCGATAGTTCCAATCCCTCGAGTTAATCGAAATTACAACTTTCCGATGATTTTGATGATGTTTACAAATTCTTTGATGAAAAGCTTGAGATGATTGGAAAGGCTTGCGATGAAGACATTTGGAAAAAGACAATAGCTGAAGGCAGAACTGTACTTCATGTTGCAAGTGAAAGAGGAAATTTCGGACTTGTTAAATCACTCATCGAATGCGGCTGTGATAAAGAAATAAACGATCAACGTGGTAATACTCCCCTTCATAAAGCATCATTTTATGGTCGTCTTGACATTGTTCAATATCTTATCTCTGTCGGGGCTGATAAAGAAGCGAAGAATGAAAGTGGAGATACTCCACTCATTTTAGCATCAAAAAATCGCAAACTTGATGTTGTTAAATATCTTATCTCCGTTGGAGCTGATAAGGAAGCAAAGAATGAAGATGGGGACACTCCATTAATTTGTGCATCAAGTTATGGTGATCTTGGTATTGTTAAATATCTTGTCTCTATTGGATGTAATATTGAAGCAAAGAATAAAGATGGAAACACTCCACTCATTGAGGCATCACCTAAAGGTAAACTTGAAGTTGTTCAATATCTCATCTCTATTGGATGTAATATTGAAGCAAAGAATAATAATGGAAATACTCCACTCATTTGTGCATCCACTGGTTCTAGTGTTGAAGTTGTTAAATATCTTATCTCAGTTGGAGCTAATAAAGATGCAAAGAACAATAATGGACAAACTCCATTCTCAGTTGCATGGGGTGATGTAAAAAGTTATCTAAATATATTGGGTCTAAAATGCTTGTAAGCCTTATAAGACAGGAAAAACTCGTGTGAGAAACGATAACAATTCTATTCATTTCTTCCTTTAGGGAATCAAATCTTATGACTAAATATTTACTTATAATATATTTTGACTCAAGTTTCCAATATTATATATATATCAGATTCTCAAGACATATAAGTTTTGTGACTCATTTGTCAAAAAAAAATTGAAATATATGTCTGAAAGTAAGTGAATAAACTTTTCTTAAATGTCAACTATACTCTCACTCTATATATAATAGCTTTTAATATGTTATGATATTGTCATAATGCTATTAACCAAGATGGTTATATTAAATACTATTCAGAATCAAAGTCGTAATTGCTTTTCAGAAGAAGTGAAATGACTTTGCCAACTCGACTGTTAAGATAACAGATAAGGATGCAACTTGGTAATTCTTTAAAAATATCCTTTAAGGTGCACTTACCACTTTCTGACATTCTCTCAATTTTTTTGGCACACAAGCTTTCTATCCCAATATTCTAAGGTCAAAATTTAATATTTTTTGTTGGGAAAAAGTAACAATAAATAATGCCTAATATGTCTGTTATGCATTTCTGTTGTCAAAATAAAGATATATTGATTTTTAAACTGCAGAACACCCTTAAAATAGACATTGTCATTCAAAGCGAAGAAGAAGAAAAAAATTGCATAATCTTTTTTAATTGATTTATATATTAATAGTATTTTTAAGTTTTATATATATAAATAAATAAAAAATCAAATAATAGTAACTCTGAAATCCTGTTGTATAGTTACAGTTCCAGAATCATGGTTATTAATTCCAGAGAATGAGATTCCTGGAATCCTGTAAATTCCGGACTTGAAAGCCACGCAGCTAAACTCAGCCGAATAATTATTTTCCTTAGACAAAACAACCTTTGTGACTCCAACAAATCTGCACGGAGTAGGACCAACTCTATCCCTGCATACGTAAACAATTGGAAGAGGACTAATCATCACTTCATTTTCCAAATTCTCTGCTCTCACGAACACCTTCATTATCTCTCCCTTCTTCCTCTCCATGTGTGAGTGGCAGTCCAATATGAATCTGAACGGTTTCTTGATGTAGTTGAAGTTGATGTTTTTCTGTGCTAAAAGGCAGTTTTCTGTTTCACCGATTTTGAATAAAACCGCCAAAGGAGAATTTCCCATCATTTCCACTCTCCATTTTTCAACTTCTTCGTCCAACTCATCTGCAGGGAAACAGACAACTGATTCAGGAACATTTGCTTTCAACTGTTCTTTGTTGATCGCCAATGTTTTGACAAGTTTTCCGTTCTTTGACATGAAACCATACAATTTAAATCCATCAATCAAAGGAGTTATTGTCATTTGTATTGCGTGTCCACCTGAATCGTTCTGGCGCTTGAAGGCGGTCGCTTCTATCTTCGCTGCAGGAGAAACATTCACTTTTGCAAGTGCAAATGCGCATTTGTGGTTCATTATACTGACAATGAAATGGAATTCGTTCAAATTCAGTTTCGTAGCTCTGAAAATCAATGGAACTCTGCAGGTTTGGCCGGGCTCGATCTCTTGATTTATCGTAATTACTGAGGATTCCCCTATTTGGTCGGTTCCCCCTTCATAAGTAATTGAATGGGGGTGATCAAAAGCAATTGAAAAGTATTTTATGAGTGTTTTGCCTTTGTTCTCGACGCAAGCGTTGAATTTGATGCACTGCCACGCGATGACGTTCTCTGGTAAGTCCTCGATGGTTAAATTAACTGTTGGATAATCGTGGATGACGTTGAAAGTAATTGGACCGCATTCGATCTCTGTTTCAACGTATCCCCAGTAATTCTTCGAGAACTTGGCTATTTTGAACGATCCCTCCGCGTGTGGAGTGAATCCGTACTTGATGTCGCTTGAATTATAAGCTCGGATATCTTTATTGTTTACTTCGTCGATATCGAAGATGTTTTCGGTGGCGTCGCCTTGGTACTCTGGAACCAGAACGGAATGGTCGAGGTGGACGGTGAATTTGTAACGATTATACAATGTAATTACGAAATACACCTGTTGGCCTATGCCAATCATCTTCTTCGACTTGGTAGGAACAGCCATATCCCAATTGTCGATCGATTTAGTGTAGCTACGGTCGATTCTGACCATATGCCAGTCATCGACATCTTTTTCAAGGTCGTCGAAGGTAGTTGTGTCGAAACCGAAGAACTCTGGGGTGCTGGGATCAATCATACGGAGCTTTTTGACCTCAACTAATGGGTTAATATGGATATTTAAGATACTTTTTGACATTGAAGGGTCGTTGTAAGGAGCAAAGAACTGGGAAATGGTCTTCTCGTGAAGCCATGGCTGAAGGTTGCGGAGGGAAAGCAATTCCTTGCATTCCCCTAAAGATCTCGCGCCTTGACCGAGATTGAATAGAGAAACGGTTTTGTCGAGCCAAACGGTTTGGTACATAAGTGGCCATGACTCTTTCGGAAGTACTTTCATGAGCCAAATTGCACATCTTAGCGCATGTCCGAACTGATTACATTGTTTATAAAGAGCTAAGGCGTTGGATGTGAGGCTCCATGACTTGTGGTCGTTCCTGGTGAGTCCGGCATAGCGTTCGTGGATCAGAGCTAAGACAAGAATCTTATTTGGCGATGTTCCTTGCCAAAGCTTACGAATTATGTCGTAGGACTTCTTGATGAGGGTTAGAGCAAGCTCTTCTTCACCAAGAGCAGCATGGATCTCGGTACAAATCAAGGGGAAATATAAAATTAATCTTAAGTTGTTTGTAGAGCCGATGTAATGTAATAGTTCGGATATATCTCGCTTGAAATGTTGAGTTCCTTGAAGAGGAAGAACTAAATGTGAAAGCGCAATCATAAAATGAGCATTTGCGCGTAAAACAGGAAGATTATCGAGATTTTTGATGAAGAGATCGTAGTTCTTTTGAGCATCTGCGTATTTGCCTGTAATAAAGAATAATGCTGCAAGTTGAGAATAAATAATTTTCTTCCAAGGGATTTGAAGGACTCTTGTGACTCTTTCTGGTGCTGCGTTCTTAGATTTGAAGAAATTCTTAACAGAATTTGAGAATTTATTGTTTTCTTCAATTTCGAACATTCTTGCTGAAATTGTACGCTTTATGTACCTTTCTACGTTCTCATAAATCTTCTGGACGGCAGATTTAGCGTTTGCGAAGTCCGTATCTGTCAAATTATTACAGAATCTCGGATCATTTAAAATATGTCCGTCATATCTGAAAAGATTTCGAGCTGTAATCATATCAGGTCCATCTGGCGATTTATTTGTTCTCGTTCTGAATGGGAATCCAATGACCTCTTCGAAGGAACCTCTTCCTGAAGTTAATTCTTTTGGAATTTCACGACTAATCAAGGTATCATAAACGACAACTTTAACGATTGGAATTGTTGTTAAGAATTCTTTCATCCATTCTGGGAAGCTGATAAGCCTTCTAAGCTCTTCTGCAGACATCGCAGCTAATCCTGGGGAAATCACGTATAATATCGTTTGTGGTAAGTCGTAGAATTCGAATTCTGAATATCTAATGGATGCACACAAGTTAAATAGCATGCGCTTGTACCATGGAGGGAATGCCGATTCAAATGAAGGGAAATAAATCTTATTTTTGAGAACACCGTAATCTGGTGAAAACTCTAGCTTAACTTCATCCTTGTCTTCGAACTCTTTCTCTGTAAAACACTTGCCATATGCGGTTGTATCTTGAACGACTTTAGCTAGGAAGTCTTCTTGACGCCAGGTCATCACCCTTTCTGCAGGAACAATTCTGATAGGATTTGGAAGCTGTGCACCAATTGCTGCAGTAAGATCTACAAATGAAAATCCTGCATTCTTAATAATCTTATCTGCATCTGGGTCAACAAAAGTTACAACCAATGGGGAGAAGCGATTTTTCAAAAATTCCTTTGGAGAGAAATTTCTGAAAGGCTCCGCAGTTTCCATTCTTGTTTTGAGGGAGTTTGTCATCTTTATTCAACTGCATAGATATATATTGCCTTATATGAATCAATCTCATTTTTCTTAATATTAACCTTCTATCTCAATTTTTTACAAAAAAATCAAAGATTATCGATCAAATAAACCACTGATATTACTAGCAAAATCAATAAGTTCATGAACATTAAAATTTTAAAATGCCATTGGTTTCTCATATTTATCGATATTTCTAAAAATTTCATTTAATTTTTATGTGTTTTAGAATAGTGCAGGCACAATATGGACATCCTCCTCATAAAATACATATAGTTTGATCACTATCCTTTACTTAAGGATGTCTTCTCGATCAAAATTCCTCAAGGATATCGTAAAAAAAAAGTTTACCTTATCTTGATCAGAAATCTATATGAGAAATTGGAGTCTTTATTTGAAAGTTCATTAATATAGACCAATACAAATCGAATGATAAAGGAATAGTTCAGAGTCAATAATGTCCAAAGATTTTTATCCTTATTTTTTTATTTTTTTAAAAAAAATTATGTATCTGTTTTTCCTCATAGCAATTCAATCTGGTCCTATTGATCATGCGCATGAACTAGATGAGGACATCATACAGAACGAAGTAATAGCGAATACTACAACTAAAGACTTAGTTAAAAATAATGCTTCCGAAATTTTAACTAATAAAGAACATGAAATAAAAACAGAAAAGCAAAACAACATTACTATTGACAAACCTTCCGAAAATACCAGTGTTCCAGTGAAGAAAATCGAAAACATCACAATTTCTAAAAATGAAACAAAGCAAATAAGTAAAAACGTCACAGAAATACACAAAAAGCCATCAGAAGCGAATGTAACTCTTGGAGAACCTCCTATTGCTCTACCAATCACTAAAAAACCAAAAAATGTAACAAAATCAGAAGATAAACCTCATAAAGAGAAGGCACCATCTTTACCTAATAACCCATTACAAGAGAAACACGAAAATATTACGGTTTTAAACAAAACAATAGTGAATTTGAACGAAACTACACAGTCTCAAGTGAACGGAAAGCCAAAACCCGATGTAAAATTGAATACAAACAAAACAATTAACCAAACAAACGTTCCGAGACAGAATTCAACAAAATTACAACAAAATCAAGATAAAAAACCAGTTAAACAACAAAACCATAATGCAACAGTACCAAAGAATAATAAAACAGAGCCAATTCAGCCAAACAGCACAGAAATAAATAAAATTAAAATAAATTCAACAGAACCATCTAAAAATATAACACACAATAACACTACAAAGGATAACAAACTAAATATAACACAAAACAGCGAAATTAAACTAAGTGTTACAGAACCTTACGAAAAAGTAAGTCAAGTGAATGAAACCAAGCCAAATATAACTACCACAAATAACAGCCGACCAATTATAGCTGAAATTCCTCCAAATCAAACAATTCCAAAATATATCAAATATTCAAAGACACAAAGCGATGATGAGAAGCCACAGAAGCTAAACAACCCAGATCCGATCGAAAGGATGAAGCATTTCAATGAAACAGATGAACAAAAAGAATTTAAGATGATAATTCCAATGAAAGATGTTCAAACTGAAGAAACAAATAATACAATGCCATCTACATATGATACTAAGCCTAATGCTACTCAAAAAGTGGAAGAAAAATTAAATAATTCTGTTTTGATTGAAAAAATCGAACAAATTAATGAAACAAAGAACGAAACTGAACTAAATAGTATCAATGTAACGAATGATAAGCCAGAAAAGCCTCTTTTAAAGAAGAAAGAATCCGAAATCGAAATTAATGTTACATTTAACGATGTAAATGAAACAGAATTGAATCAAACAGATATTATTAATGAAAATACTACATTAGAAGAACCTTCCCAGTCAGAAGTCCTTCCAGGTGATGATAAAACGATCGAAATTGAAGAATTAGACAAGAAACTAGACGAAAACATTAAGAACAAGACTAATATTGAAGAAAACATTAAACTTAATACTGATTTGAACAAAACAAATGAAATTCTCAAAAATGAAGAAAATACCAAAAAAGAAAATCAAAATTTAGATCAAATTCATGAACCAAAAGAAGAAGAAAATAAAAATGAGACATTGATTTCAAATAATAATCAGACAATGAGAAAAGAGGAAACAAAAAGTGACACTAAGGAAGTAAAAAGTGACAAGGTCGAAGTTTCTGAGGAAACCAAGAAAGAAACGCCAACTCCAACCAAAGAACCAGTCGATCCCATAGTTGTTAACATCAGAAAGGCCAGTTCTATTCATCCAACTGCGACAGAAACTCCTGAAGATGCAGAAGAAGCGGAACCAACACCAACAGAGAAAATCAGACACTACAGGAGGCCAACGATTGTCCAGCCTCCATCATTGTGGGAAGACTTGATGTCTCACTCCGGTACAAGTGTAATTATCGGAATTTGCGTATTCCTTAGCATATCTGTTTATGCTATCTATGCTTTTGTTATTAAACCAAATAGGACACAAAAGCATGCTTTGCCTTTCCTTCTTAAGCAAAAAGATGGAAATAATAACAATACAAGTAGCTTTGATATTGAAAGAGGAGATTTAGTGCGTACTGAGGGTAGAACTTTTTAAAATGTATTATTTTGATTGATATTAAATATAATTTTGAATATTTTTAAGATGATCTTTTATAAATCATATATTTTCCCTGACATTATATATCTGGATTTATCTATAAGGTCGCCAAAAAAAGTGCGGAAATTAAAAACCGCAGTTTGAGTACTTTCTGAGAGTCTGTTTGTCAGAAAGTATACATTTGTAAACTTTCTGACACTAAAATTTTTTGGTCCTTTCAAAGTTTTTGACAATGTCAAAAAGTATACATCGGGGCTCTCAATTTTCCTCTCAAACGGCGGTTTTTTAAAAACGCTCATTTTTTCATCGACCTTATACAAGAGAATTTTATTATTAACATGATACAGCAACATCTTTACTTGTATTTTTGCTGTATTATAAGAAGCAAAATCTCAATTAGATATGCACTCACCACTTTCTGATGCTCTCTTAATTTTTTTGACATCCAAAATTTATATCCCAATTTTCTAAGGTAAAAAGTTAATTTTTTTTGTTTGGGAAAAGGTCATTATAAATCTTTATATAATGCCTCGTATGACTGTTATACTATTTTGCTATTCTAATAAAGATATATTGATTGTGTAAGTGGTAAGTCCTTTTCATCTTTTTAATTGATTTTTAGATATTTTTTAAATTTAATAAATACTGCTTTATGAAGAGCAGTTTCTCCGTATCAATTTTTTTATCTATTTCTGAAAAATGGTAGTTGTTTTCGATTTGATTATTGCGATTTTCTAAAGATATAGCATCTGGGTCTCAAAAATTGAGTGAATTGAGATGTTATTATACGTAAATTATGAAAATGAGTCCTGTTTCATTCAACTTTTGAATAGTATTGAAAATGGAACCTGTCTTAAAAGGATTCTTTGCATAATTTCACTTTCCTTTATTAATTTTTTTACCTTGTCAAAATAAAAATTTGGTGTCAAATGCCAATTTTGACATTCTTCAATAATGTTTTTATTCCTATTGTCCGTAATTGCATGGAGAATGATTGACTATCAAGAAGAGTACAGTATTGTTAAATCATGGTGATTAGAAGATGGTCAAACACTCGAATATTACGAATTGAAAAAGGTCCCATTCAGACACGCCAAGGTAGTAGCCTGTTATGGTGCACACATTACAGATGGTATAAACAAGTATCAAGACTTTCTAAATAATTCCGGCAAAATCAGACTTTCTGATGGAAGAATTGCCTATGTAGATACGAACAAATATTTACGTATCGTTGATTCTTCAAATAATGAAGTTGAAATATTTGAAATAGGATGCAAACGTATCCAATAAAAAAAATTAGTTTATTCGACTTGTTTTTATGTTTATAATTAAAAAAATTGTCTTGATCTAAACTTGTCTTATTAGACGCCCTTTAACTAAGTAATGAATGCTAAGATATGTATTTACAAAATTCCTCAAATCAACCAATGGTGAAGTTAATATATTTTATCATTAAATGTAAAGGGAGATAGTAAATATTCACCGTTCAGTTAACTCCTATAAAAAAAATCTAAGAATTCGTGTCAAAAATAAGCAATAAGGATTTATATTTTAGATCACATGATGAATTCCCTCCTCAATATATCAAATGCTTTATATTCTACGGCATTCTCAATCCTTAATTAAAAACAAATGACTAAATTGCGGTAATTTGAATGTCTTTCCCTGGTTACAACAGTTTACAAGTATTGCCCTATCTGTTCATGCGTCAGTAACTTTTTAAAATCTTCCACTTTGAAGCCGGTCGAATCCCATCACAAAATTGAAATTGAGAGAGTTTGAAGGGGAAAATATATTGTTTATAAATTTTATTATAAAAACTCAATAGACAAATAATTCTGATGTGGGACAAATTTTATATGTCCATGAAATTTTGAATTGAAACTATCGATAAAATTTGGTGTCTATTTACAACTTCACAATTAAAATTTTCTGTAAATCAGTATAAATGGATATTGCAGGTTTCGGAAGAAGTCGTCAATATAAGATTACAGCTCAAGATCACGCCATCGATGATCAGAGCCAAGTAATTAAAACAGCTGATCATTGGGAAACTGATCTTCCAATTTGCGCCGAGAAAGCCGCTTCTCCACGCAATGAGATCAGGCTTGCAGCCCTCAAGTCAATGAATGAAATTCTCTCTGATACATATATCGGAGAAGATCTTGAACCACACATTCAGCCAATCTTTGATTCATTGCTTCAGCCAATTACAGAGCCAGTATCAAGACAAGAACATGATGAGGCTCTTTTGGTTATGTGCAATCTCGCATTGAATACTTATGACTTGATGCAAGAAGCCGCTTTCTCATTCCTTAACGAGCTCATGCCAAACCTTCCAGCTTTGACAGGTGATCAAACTGCTCGCGCTTTCGCCATCGCTTTCGTTACAGGCTTCTCTCTTCCAAACGCAGAGAGATGTGAGAGCGTTCTCGCCAGAATCCTCGAGCTCATTGCTAACAAGAAGAAGAGAACAGTCAAGTTCGAGCCAGAAGTTGTTGTTGCTCTCATCAACGCTACTGCTTTGTTACTTTCAATTTTATCTTCTACAGTTGCAGTTGGAAAGCTCGCCCAGAACCTTGCTGATGCTTTGGATGTTGCCCTCGAGTCAAAGAAGTCAATTATCCTCTGCGCAGCCCTCGATTTGATCCCAATTATTTACGAATGCATCAAAGAGGTCGAGGAGTTCTCAGACGAGCTCAAGGAGCAGTACAATGCTGATAGCAGACACTTTGCTGCCAAATACCGCAATAAGATCGAAAATCTCGAAGAGAAAGTCGACAAGAAACAAGATCAGAAAACAATCAGAACACAGGTTGCCAAGATCATCGAATTCTTTGATACGAACGAACTTACAGAGGAAATCATGCTTGCTGACCAGTCTGTCACCATAGAAGGCGCAAGAAAAGTTTGCATCGTCGATGCAATCAGGAAAGTCACTCGGCACCACTTCGCCTCACAGATGACAGAGAATACAGGCATCCATGATGCTATTGAGTTCGAGTTAAAGAACCAATCTCTCAGACTTCACGAAAAGAAGAAACAAAAGAAGGAAACAGAGAGAGTAAGAGTCGTTTCTAAGAAAGAAAGACAAATGGATATGGCTAAGAAGCGTAAGATGAAAGAGGCAAAGAACTCTGAAGAATATTAAAATAATATTAAAAAAAATAGGTCATAAATAAATAATTATAAAAGTAATTAATCTCTTTATCGTTTTTAAATTGTTTATTCTTAATAAGACCAAATCCAGAAGATATTTGATTTTTTGATACCTGTGTATCATCTAAAGATGTCTGTTTAAGGACATTTAAATTCCAGACCAAATAATTTTTAAGCTCTGAAGGACAGATAAAGTATCAAAATTATAGATTGACATTGTGCATTTGAATCTTTTTATCTAATGAGGCTAATGGGGAAATAGCTATTTCAATATGTATATACATGGATAAGGTAAATACTTTTAATGAAATCAAATTAAATTTGCGCTTATTTATGTGATATTCATTGAAGAGTTTTTCATCAATGTATGGACAAACAACAAAAGTATATTATTAATGAAATACCAGTGTGAAGTGTTTCAATTAAACGAGTTTTGTTGATTATTTGGAACTTTCGAATGTTTGTGGATCTAAACTCATAGCCAAAACACTTTTATGTATACTAGAAATAGTTTTTTAAATAAGATATCATAATTTCTAGAATATTATATATTATATGCTTATTGAGCTTTAAATATAAGTAAATGAATGAACATTTTTATTAATAAAACACATAGATATTGAGTATTAATGAAATATCTCTTATTGGGTTTCAGCCATTTGTGCTTGAAGATCGGCAACCTTTTTCTTGGCTTCTTCGATTTTCTGTTGTATTTCTGCGTTCTCCTTCAATACTTGATTGATATCAACGCCGTTCATTGTTGAAAAGTACTGTTGTATGTATTCAATTGGATGATCTTTGTCAGAATTTTCATAAAAGTGAACAAGAATAGTTGTTAAATGTTTCATTAAGCCTTTTTCTTCAAGATAGCTTTTGAATTGTATTTGTCTATATTCTTTTTCTTGTTGAATTCGCAATCTTTCAGCTTCAAGTTCTTCCTCTGTTGGTTGTGGTTTTAATTTTGATAACAATTCTGCATCTTCATCTTCAGTTGGTACTGGATTCTCGTTAACAGTTTCTTCTTCAGTCATTTTTTTGAACGCATTTTTTTTTTGAACAAATTATCTTCAGTATGATATTGCGTGTGTAATCTCTCCAAAGTTGAAGTATTCATCTTCAATTGATTAATAAGTTCTCAAACATATATTTCTTGAAAAAAGTTACAAATAACCCTAATGCAGCATATAATATATTCATGTGATGAAGTTTATAGCTTTATAATCTTGATGTCAATGCTATCTTTTTCTTGTATTCACTCTTTAAACATGGTGGTAAATTTCAAACAAAGAAAAAAATGTCAGATTTTCTTTTATTTCACTTTCCCCTGGAAATAACTTACCTACAATAGTTAGGTAATTATCAAAAAAAAGTACAGCATGTCAGCTTTTTAAAAATTTTAATGTCTGAACAAGACAATCATCAAAGTAAATATCGCGAATTAAGAAGCATCTGTAAGTATTACATCGATTCATATAATGCATTGTATCGGTTAAAAACTCAAAAAGAAGAAGATTTAAACTCGATTTATGAAATGATCAAAACAAATTTGATTGATTCAAAGATTGTTCCTGCACAAAATATTATAAGAGATATCTTCAATTGTATTTTGTATAATAACCGCTATACGAAATCATATTTAGCACTTGCCAAACGAATTTTTGATGAATATAAAGTAAAAGAGGTCGATGCAAGTTATTATGTTTCTAGATGCGTATTTTATAAAGAATATGGAATTAAATTAAGGAGATACGATTTTTATCATGAGAGCTATTTAAAAAATCTAGATATTCTTTCAGAAAATACGATATACAGAGCAATTATGAATGATGACCTAGAACAATTCATCTTATTCACCGAAAGAGAAACATTTGATAAAGATGAAAAACTTATCAGCGATTTATATCCATGTCATACCAGCTTAGGATATTCATTACTTGAATTATGTTGTTACTATGGATCGGTTGATTGTTTCAAGTTATTAAGATCGAAATTTAACTCAGAAATAACTCGAACATGTCTTGAATGTTCATTTTTAAGTGGAAATCCAGATATCATGAGTGAATGTATGAAATATCAAAAACCAAATGAAAAATGCATGGAATATGCAAATATTTCTCACAACATTGATTTTGTTACATTCTTGATGAACGAATACAACATACAAATCAGTTTATATTATTGCCTAGAGTGTAATGATATTGATTCATTTTTAGTTTATTTCGATCAAACCAATGATATTGGTCAATGTTTTCTTTATTCAATAAAGTTTGGTATTCCATCCATATGCGAATATTTCCTTTCACATGGAGCAAATATCAATGCAAAAAATCAATTTGAGGATACTGTTTTACAAATTGCTGTAAACAATAATAATAAAGAGATAGTTGAACTTTTTATTAAATATGGTGCAGATGTCAATGAAAAAAATAATGATGGAGAAACTGCTTTGCATATTGCAGTAGCCAATAATTATAAAGAAATAGCTGAACTTCTTATTATAAATGGAGCTGATATCAATGAAAAAGATAATGATGGGAAAACAGCTCTTCATAAAGCCGCAATTAATAATAGCAAAGATGTAATTGAACTTCTTCTTTCACATGGTTTAAATATCAATGAAAAAGATAATGATGGAGAAACTGCTTTGCATATTGCAGTAGCCAATAATTATAAAGAAATAGCTGAACTTCTTATTACGCATGGTGCAGATGTCAATGAAAAAAATAATGATGGGAAAACAGCTCTTCATAAAGCCGCAATTAATAATAGCAAAGATGTAATTGAACTTCTTCTTTCACATGGTTTAAATATCAATGAAAAAGATAATGATGGAGAAACCGCATTCCATGAAGCTGTAAAATATAATTGTAAAGATGCAGCCGAAATCCTTGTTTCGCATGGTTCAAATATCAATGAAAAATATAAATCCGGAGAAAAACCTTTGCATATTGCAATAGCTCTAAATTATCAAGAAATTTTTGAACTTCTTCTTTCACATGGTGCAGATATCAATGAAAAAGATAAATCCGGAGAAACTCCTTTGCATATTGCAGTATTGAAGAAAAGCAAAGAAATACTTGAGTTTGTTCTTTCATGTGGCGCAAATCTCAATGAAAAAAATAAATATGGAAAAACGGCTCTTCATTATGCAACACGTTTAAACAGAAAAGAACTGGTTGACGTTCTAGTTTCACATGGTCCGGATATTAATGAAAAAAATAATGATGGAGAAACTGCTTTGCATATTGCAGTAGCCAATAATTATAAAGAAATAGCTGAAATTCTTATTATAAATGGAGCTGATATCAATGAAAAAGATAATGATGGGAAAACAGCTCTTCATAAAGCCGCAATTAATAATAGCAAAGATGTAATTGAACTTCTTCTTTCACATGGTTTAAATATCAATGAAAAAGATAATGATGGAGAAACCGCACTCCAAAAAGCTGTAAAATTTAATAGTAAAGAAGCCGCAGAAATTCTTCGTCCACATGGTGCAAATATCGAAAAATGCGTCATATTATAGTATAACTACGTGAAGAATGATTAATTCTAATAGTTTTAAAAAGTGAATATAAATTTTCTTTTTTTACTGATAATAAATTAAGTATCCCGTATAATACTTTTATCATACTAATCTTTAGCCTCTCAAAAGCATCATTTATTATATTGTTACTTTATGAACCTTCAATCATGGATTGAAATTTGTTGCAAAATGAAAAACAACGAGGAAGGATCTACTGAAACCATTAAACAATTCATTGAATCTCCAAATTTTCTTGAGAATTCGTTTGATTTACTTCAAAATGATATGGATATTGAATATTTTCAGCTATTGATGCAAGCAATTCAAGCAAATGTTGGTCAAAAATGGGATAAAAATAATAAATCATGCTCAGAATTCAAATTGAAATGGTTAGAATATTGTACAACAATAGCAAGTCAAGAATCAGAAATATTATCTATGTCTTATGATATACTAGATAAAATTATATCGAATGATTGGCCAGACAATTGGAAAGATCTCGTTCAAAACGTTCTAAACTTTGAAATTTCGCCAGAAGCCGTCAACAACGTTCTCATATCAATGCACGTCATTAAAACAATAGCAAGCATCTTATATACCCGAATTAAAAACGATATTACGCGAGATATTTTTACAATTCAATTAATTAAAGATCTCAGTCAATACAGTGCAGTTTATATGAATTTTATTGGATTTACATTCAGTTTTGAACTAGACGAGCAAACAAAATTTCTTTATTTTGAAATGTTTGATTTTATTTCGAAAATATGCAAAGTAATAGACATAGACTACGGTATTGATCATTTACTAGAGTTTCTTGAAGCAAATTATCAAATAGTCCTTGCTCCTCTTTGTAAATCTTTATTATCTTTAATGGAGTTCCGTTTTCATGAAAACGGCTCTGGATTTGCTGAGATAGACCTTTTCTGTAAGATAATTAGCTATTTAAGACACCTTGACATGGCTTTTGAAACAGAAAAAATTATGACTGATAATGATTTCTTCGAAATCTTTATTAAACTCATTCCAAATGTTTACGATGATATATCTGACTTTAATTTATCAATTTGGTCTTACAAAGACAATCTTTCAGTTATAATTTTTTTCATGGCAAAATTGTTTGAATTTATCGGTTTCAAAATGTTGGAAAGTGATCGTGATACTTATTGTCAGTATTATTTGACATTTGTAAAGTTTTTTGACAAACTTTTCATGAATGTAATAATTAAGCTGGGAAATTCGGAAAGAACTCTTTATGACGTGATCCATGATTCAATTCCAATCATAACCAATGCAATTATGATGGGAATTGACCATCCAATAACTATTGATCAAGATAATAACGTTTTATTCCAAATTAATGATCAAAAGTCAATGTTCTATGCACATTTGAACTTGGTTAATTCTATTTATAGGTTTGCAAGTGTGAATCTTTCAAATCAAATACTTGAAGAATTTAATTTATTAATTGAAGGAAAAGCTGAAGGAAAACCTTATAATATATATGAGAAAATCACAACTATGGCTTCTATTGTTGTCCCGATTATGAAAGAATCATTTAGAAACGAACAAAATAATATTTTAAATTCAACTTTGGAATTTTACATAGAAATGCTGGACAATGAAAATATAGAAAATGCTTGTTTAGCAGCTTATTATTTGGCCCAAATTTACCAAGTTTTGAGGAGAAATGAGTATCAATCTGCTCTTCAGCCCATAATTACAAAGTTAATGGCGTACTTCCGTAGAGAGGAAGTTATTCTCCATGCAGTGGCCGCTGAATGCCTTTCAAAACTGTTTTATTTCTCAGGATATAAAGAAGAAGACCGAAGAGATTGGCTGATTTTTGTAAATGGTCCGACTCCTGGAAACGAAGAATTGAGTCCGGAACCTTTAATTCCAATAATTATGGATAATTTTGGGAAAATTCTTCAGATTGTGAATCAGAATAGCCATGTCTCGTTGATAAAGCTTGTTTGTAGCATAGAACTTATGTTAGAACAAAAATTGAATGTTATGAAAAAAGATGAAAGTCAATTAGAGGCCAAACCTGAAGAAGTTGAAGAATTCAGAGCATACAAAGATAATTTCTTCGGAAATGTATATAATTTTGTCAGAACAAGCTTTGAAAATGCATTAAATAATTTCAATCTCGATAATCCAGCAACAGTAGCCCAATATTGTCATTTCTGTGATGTATATCTGGCATATGAAGTACTTATTAATCCAGATAGTGATGAAAACAATCCAATTTCAATATTAAATCCATATGTTTCCGAATTATATGGAGGAATACATCAAATCGTTAGAACTCTACTAGAATCATATGCTGGATACCAAACAAGAGAGAAACAAGATGAAAATATGATTATTTTGTTGAGAAATTCAATTGAAAAAACTTTACAAGTTTTTAATATGATATTAAAGACATTTGTACCTATCAAGTCGATAAATGTACTTGGGCAATCATTTATTTCCGATATTTTCGGTATGTTCAGTGATTTACCAAATTCTTGTTTTGTTCCTTATGTTTTTACATTCCTTCGCAACTCAACCTTTTATGTTCAATATGTAGACCCTGATTTCTGGAAGATTAACGACGGAATTCCAACAAATTTGGTAAATATTCTTCGTTTTACAATAATTGAGAATCCAAACATCTTATGTGTTCCAGAAATACTGAATTACCTTGCTCGTCTCATCGACTCACGATATGTCTCAATAGACCTCATTCCTCAAGAAGAATTAAAATTATTAATCAGATATTCACTTTTTTATATGGAAAATGATGATTTGAAATCATCATTAGCTGCTCATAAGCTTCTCCATACAATTATTAGCACAATATGCGATCTTGGCCAAGATATGAGAGATTCAATTTTTGAAACAGATATGAACATAGACCAGGACAACGAAATCAGGATAGGAGATTACATTTTCATAGAAATGCTCAGAATTTGTTCAACAGGAAAAACAAAATTTGCATTCGCTGAATATGCAAAAATTGTAAATCTCTCGAACTATACAAACCCTTTAACAGAATCTATTGACTATTTCGTTGATGTTTTATCGAATATTCTTTCTTCTGATCCACAAATCGTAAGATCTCTAATTGAAGGAATAATTACGAATTCTCATACAGAATTTTTACAGAGATTCATATGTACATATAGTGGACTAAGCAAACATGATCCAGAACTTGACTTTTCCCGTAATAAGAAACCTTATTCGAGACTAAAAAGCGAATCTGATAAAGTTGAAGATAAATTAATACCTGCCTATAATCACGAAGAAGATACAGTTGTTCAGGAATCATCCATATACTTCTAGAACTTTATTTTTTATTATTTTTTGTTTTGTTATTTTATAAAAAGTTATTTTTGTCATGTCTATATATATAAAATAACTTCTATGCTTATTTTTCAATACAATAACTAGAGTTTTTGAAACTAATCACAACGAAATATCTTTCTTGAATGATTCTTTTATACTTTTCATTAAACCTTTTGCACTATTGATGCACGACGATATGCATAATATTTAGGAAATTTCAAGCCATGGTTTAAAAAAATCAAAAATAAATTAGATAAAATCGCTATCATTGAAGGATGTTGATAACACACTTTGGCTCTACCTATGAGAGCTCTTACAATAAAATCAAATGACATATAAACATTTGAAGTAAATTTCAGATCATAAAATTTTCTGTCTTAATTTGAGACAGATACCGATGGTTTCGGCAAAATTTATTTTTTGATCATCTTTTAAAATATGTAGTATGACTATTATGCTGTCCAATTTTAGGAAAAAATTGTGTGGTAAATTTTCAGTTGTAAAATGCTTGTTGCATCCTTCAGTGACGAAGACCTGGAACGTCTCCGTCAAAAGGAGTCTGTTGTTGACAAAGTGATTAATTTCTTTTGTGAGCAACAGAGATGCAAATACAAAGAAAATTCAAAATTGTTTTACTTCATGGAGCCTTGTATATCAGACTTGCTTTACCGCTACACTGTTGAGGATTCAAGGGAATTCATGAAGACGAGGAATATCAAAGAACAGGATTTAATTTTCATTTTTATTTATAATAATTTCCATTTTTCACTTCTATGCTGCAGACCAAAGGCCAAAAAGAAGTGCTTCATTCATTTTGATTCCATTAAAGGCGCAAACCATAAATACGCTTTAGAATTTTCATTAAAATTCATCAATATATTTGACCTTAAATGCGATAAGAAAGAGGCATTCGTTGAGATGGAATGCCCTCAGCAAAAGAACAGCAAAGACTGCGCAATATATTCCATCGCATTTACAGACGCAATCGCTTCAAAATACAGCTTTTGCAGTTCTACCTTTGAAATTATTAATCCAGAATACATTGATGGGCTGAGAGAAAACCTTTACCGAACAATTTATCAAAGTCGGGCTAAACCTAAATGCGAAATGCCTGAAATACAGAGCTCTCATCAGATCGGTCAATCCTGATGACTTTCACTGTTCATTTGAAGAATATTTTATGAAAAAGATATTAGAATTTTGTTTTTTTAATAATCACCAGGAAATTATACTATTCATTTGTAATTATATATGTAAATTATTAATGTTATTACATCTGTTTTTAAAAAAAGAAAAAGTATATATAAATTATCTTTAATATTTAATTGGTTGTGTTCAATATTACATTATTTTAGTATCAACATCAATTATAAAATGTATCTATTTTTCCAAAAAATTTTCATTTTTGATATTTTGACATAAAAATCATATTTTTTGTTTTTATTTTTATTTTTTTGAATTTTTTTTGGAAATTCGACCTCTTAGTTTTACCAAATGAATGTTCTCATTACAATCAATTAGATGATCTATTTCCATTTGTATATTGAAAAATTTATAATAATGGGTTTTGCTTGAAATTTGAATTCAATTTCATGTAAAAAATGAGTATTTAAAGAAATATACTACATCACAGTAATTAAAACACTTAAAACATTCCATATCATTGAATCACAAATAAAAGATTCATAGTTACAATACTCATTTATCCTCATCGATTTAATAATATCATTATCTAGTGGCAGGAATGAATAAACTCATGCACATATGAAAACATTATGGATAGTAATCTTTTTACTTGTTGGAAGGTAAAGGAATTCCGAATAGAATTCAAGTAAGTTGAATCTTCCTTAATTTAATATATAAATCCAATACATTGCTCCAATGAATGCTTATTACCTACAGGTCAAGGAAATTTTAAATTTGATAATAATATCTCCAAATTGACTGGATAAAATTTTGCAGTTCTTCGACTATGAGTTTTCCTGAAGGCAACTAGTACATGTCTGTTACCAAAATTGGAAACTGAGCAAAGCAAAACATGATTGGAAGAATGAACGTTTAGAAATTTTATCAAACAAATGATCGAAAGGGCGAAAAATTCAAGAGTAATCCCGGCAGTTATTATCATGTCATTGATTATTTACTCAGCATATTGGCTGTTCGTCTCAGCAGACAGCTTTTGGTGCTCAGCAATTGGAAATTACAATATTATCTACCTTTGTTTCTTGATTCTTTTTTCATTTATCTCACTTGTATTGCTTATCAAACAAAACAATAAATGGTATATCATTTTATCCGCAATTTCATTTATCCCAGCAGTAATTGTATGCTTTATTAACAGATTTTCAAGATATCCTGACATCGCATCTATGATAAATCAATATTACGTCGATAATAAAAACGAACCTTCCGCAAGTTATCTCACTACAATTTACGGCGAGGAATGGAAACTTTATAATTATATTATAGTGCGTTCCGGCCAGTCTTCGACAGTTACACTTTGTCTAGTATGTCTTTGGATTGCAACACTTATAATACCTCACTTTAAGGAGTGAATTTTTCATTTTGTTATTTATAAAATGTTTATGTTATGGTTTAAAATTCCGTATTTCGTACTTTTAAGCACTCTCATAATTTATTTTAATGTTAATCTCGAAGTCTAGAAGACATTCGAAATAAGGGGTGAATTTATTTTTTTCTGGGGAATTCAAATTTTTTTCTAGGCACAATGACTGAAATAGACCAAGCTCCACATAATGATGTTTGGATTGAGCGAAGGCTAGAACTCGAAGAGAGAGCCATAACGCATGAGAGAAGTCGTGTGTCGAACGCTATGAACTCCGAGCTGATTGCCGCCAAGCAAAGACTCCTTTCTGAAGCGTGGGCAAGGATGCAGGAACTCGTTTCTAGCGATAAGGCAAACGAAAACATGTATAGACAGATCTGCCCACAAATTTTCGGTCCACTATCTCAAAAATTTCCGAAAAAACGATCGGCAAAGAAACCTACAATTCCTAAAATCGGTATTAACGCTACAAAACTACTTCTCGGCGAGGCTTCGATCATCAATGACATGTGTGGAATACCTCCTCCTCAACAAAATAATTTCGTTCTTACTGACGGAACTAAACTGATGATAACTGCTACAGGACAAAAGTGGGTTGTCAAAATACAGCATGTGCGCGATGATATCTTTACTTTGACGTACTGTGATGGGTCATCATCTCAATTGTTACAGTCAGATATACCTGCACTAGGTCTCAAATTTACGGATGTACCAACATATCAGTAATTTTTATTTCTTACTTTCTTTTATGTCTTTTATTTGTTTTAATAAATGTGAAATAATACAACTGAATTGAAAATCTCTACTATTTTTCTCACTTTTGGATATCGCTGAAGGTGACCACAAAGGAAATAATTCGTTCTTTTGAAGTTAATTTCACCCATATTTTTTCCATTTTCGTCCAAATCGGACAAAACATACTAGGTTACAACGCTTATGAAAAAAGGATATCGTAGTTAAACAAGCATGAATATACAAACAATTTATAAGACGAAATCCAGATTGACAGATTTGAGAAAGGATTGCAAGGCATCAACTGTAGTTTGCTCTTGAGCTTTCCTTTTCTTAACAGGCTTTGGCTTCGGCTTTTCACGAGTAGTATTGGGGAAAACGATTTTCATATTTGGATTAATAGTTCGCTCTTTATGGGTTTTCAGCCAGAAATCTCGACTCTCGATAGCTTCTGCATGACGTATCCCTTTTTCGACAAATAAAATTGTGGTACCGTCAGTTACGCAGTAATCATCGAGAGTGTGTCCAGGTTTTATAATACCCTTAGGCGATACAATGTAGTAAGGTTCTGTAGAAATTCCAATCTTTGATTCGATAGTTTGTCTAAATTCTTCCACAGGCTCTCTATTTTGAAAGTATACCTCAAATTCTGGAATTCCTGGGAAGAATACAACTACTATACCTATTGGCTTAAAAGGTTTCTTGCGCCTGACAATTGGGGGAGGATTGATAATCAGCTCTAAATGGTCATTCTGCGGTTTCGCTATTCCAAATACTGAAGGAGATACCAAAATACCACGTGATTGCTGTCGAATTTGGCTTTGATTGAAATATCTAGACCCAGAAAGTTGCATTTTTTATCACAATTTTTTTTTCGTTATTTTGCTTTTTTTGTAAAAGATGTTTGAAGCTGATAATAGAGTTAAAATGTTTTTATCCAGAGCTATTTTTGAAGCTGGACAAGTTACTGATGCTTCTAAGATAGTTAAAAGTCTTGCTGAAGCAAATTATCCATTTACAAATGAAGATAAAACATTAATCGTCGATATTTACGAAGCTCTAGTTGTTCCTCTTCGTACAGCAGTAATGAATATTGATAATGGTCTCGAACCTGATAGTTCTGTACAATCTGCTTTACAAGAACTTAAAACTTTGTTATTAACAGGTACAGATGACATAATCAATATCATACAAAAGAATATCCTTCCAACATGTGATACTGATGAATCACGTGCAAACTTCCTTAAAGCACAAGCTGATTTTCAAAGATATAGAGTTATCAGTCTTCCTGCTGAAAAAATGGCTGAGGCTGCAGAGCAATCACAACAATCATACAAGAAAGCTCAAGACGTGTTAAATATCATGCCAAATCCACCAATAGATTTATCCTTAAAATTACAGTTGAATCAGGCTATTCTCTTGGCTGATTTTCTCGGCCAGAAAGATAAAGCTATCGAAGACATTACTCAGCTTCGAAAAGATACATCATCTTCATTTGAAAAATATTCAGATGATATTAAGCCAAAAATCAATGAAATTATTGATCTCATGGATGAGAATCTTAGCATCTGGAAGAATGAAGAGTAATTACGTATAAATTTTTGTATCTCAAGATTTTGTATTTGTATTCATAATAAATGTTATCCTGTTAATAATAATTTGCTTTCCCTACATGAGTAAAATAAAATAGTAGTAAAATGAATGAATTTTTATGATAAACAGATAAAAATTTATTGAATTATTTCTTTGGCGGGCGTTTCTTTAATATTTGCTGTATTCCTTGGTTAGAGTGAACGTCTGGTTTCTTAATTGCGGCAGACTTTGATGCATTAACTGGTTTAGGTGTTTTGGCTTTTGTAGATGCTGCAGCATTAACAGGCTTTGCAGCACGACGGGCAGAAGATTTTTGTTCTGTAGATTTTTTGGCTGCAGGTTTTGTTGTTTCTGTTGTTGGTTTTGCTGATGTTGTTTGAGTTTTTTCTTCTTGTTCTTTTTCACTTTCCTCTTCTTCTTCCTCTTCCTCCTCATCATCTTCTGCTTCACTTTCTTCTTCATCTTCATCAGAATATTCATATTCATGCATTGCATCATAGTTGTCCGCCATTTTAAGCTCCTCTTCTGTAATTGGTGTATTGTCTGGAGCTGCTAAAACTTGTCTTCTAAGATAAAATAGAATTTCATTTACTTGTTCATCATCTGGATTATTTTCATGACATTTCTGAGCTATTAGAAGTGCCTGATCGTAATTTTTAGCTTCTAGGCAGTCTACTAACTGTATGTTAGAAATTAAATGTATCTATTCCTAAGATCATCGGATCTTTTGCTGACATCAATATAAAATTTTAAACAGCAAATCAAATTTACAAAATTGACATTGTAAGAATTTTGTGTCAGAAATTTTGAGTTTACAAAAGTTTTCACGTTTTTTTATGGCAGAAGAGAGTGGATTTAAAGAATGGCCAAAGCTACCAGCAGTAATTGATGCCGGGCTCAAATATGACCTCCTAACCGAAGAAGAAAAGCAGCAATATCCTTTATTTATGCGCGCATATAACGATGTCGCTAATGTTCAACGAGTTTTTCTTGATTTGTTTTCTCAATTCCTCAACATTCAAAAAATTATTCATGCATTTCCTAAAGGAAGAGCAATCGACTCATATTACATCCAATTTTTCACAAAATTTGATGATGTGTTACGCTGCACAGCTGAACTATTTGAAAGCATGGCTCCATATGCATTTTCTAACGAACCAAAAGTATTTTATACAGTCTTTAAAAAGAAATTAGAAAAATTTAAAAAACTCAGTACACAATGGATGCCTTTAGTATCACAATATGTAGCTATCATACCAGTGTCAATTGCTGCAACCATATCAATTCCAAAAATGAACGAATTTTCAAAAAAATTTGAAGAATATGAGAGACAAATCATTGATATATTTGCACCAATTAATATCTCTTTTTCCAACAAATTAAATTGCATTGCTAAAAAGCGTGAAGAAGCTATCAAACAAAATAATAATGGAGATATGCATGTACAGCTGAACACAATTCTTAACAGTCTTAATAAGATTACAGCAAGAAGATTAGAACTTGAAAAAGCAACTGAAAATCTCGCAATAATCATGAGAGCTTTAAATGCTACTGATATTGAATTAGAAGTGGTCGAACATACTAGAAATTCTAACTAACTTATATTGTTTTATTTCATTTCTTTCCTACTAAATTTTTGTTTGTATTTTTTTAATTGTTTCAAGTTTTTTTATGCATTAACATGTATTATAATTACATACACGTCATGCAAAATCCAATTAATCGGTGAATATGCAATAAAAGCGTTCCATTTTAAGGATCAGATAAATTTTTGAAATCCAAAACAAATTTATTCCTAATTTAATTAGTGTATTCTAACCAAAATCCTAAAAATTCCAATTGATTATTACTCGATATCCCGAAGGCAAAAAATTAAATTATAATTCGATAATTTTGTTGACTAGAAAAATATAATATGTAATGCAATAACACATATTTATTTTTTATCGAAAATTTGGGATATATGCTCAATTAATTCTTTCTTGAGCCAATTAGACTGCAAAGCACTTCTCTCTATTTCATTCATTACATCTTTCAATTGATTCAAAGCTTCCAATTCGCCAGGATCCTCAGTTTCCAGCTGCAAGAAATCATCTGCAACACTAAGTAATAACTTCAATTGTTCGGCAACTCTTGTTGGATAAGGAATATTATCACTTTGCTTAGAATCAATTTGAGGAGGAGTTACAACTGTTACAGGAAGAAGAATCTGTTGAGGTGGTGTGGAAGGAGGTGTTAGAACCTTTTGTTGTTGAGAGGATGAAGAAGGAACTGGAGAAAGTGCCATTTCTGGTTGTTTCGGAGTTGTTTCTTTTGACTTATGTGGTGTTGAAGAATCTTTTTCTAATTCATCAATAATAAATGGATCTAAATCATCATCGTCAACTCCTTTAATCTGATTTGGTGGATCCTTTATGTCTAGTTTAAGTTTTTCTTTCCTTCTCGATGGAGTATCATCTCCAATGATAATATAATCTTTGTTATCTTCGTTCTTCTTTTTCTTTATGCTGTCAAGCATTTTCATGATTGAAGAATCTGTTTCTCCACTTGAACTCAATTCAGGTTTTTCATTTTCATTTTGATTTTGATTTCCATTTTCATCATCAGAATCTTTACCAATGAATGAAGCTCTAATAATATCATCAACAATGTGATCACGCTCTCCGAAAGCAGGCCTTGGAATATGATCATAATCTAATTGGCTATCATCAGTTTGATCTTGTTGACCATCATCTTCAACAACGACTTCTTGTTGACCATTCTTATCTTCTTTGTTTTCAACAAATGTCCATGCTGTATTAGCTTCTGCGCCTTTTAATGTTGAGCTGGCCTGTCTTTGAAGTTTCAACTTTGGTTCATCATCCAAAATTGTAGAATGCGATGGTTCTTCATCTAAGCCCATTAATAAATCCAATGGAACATTAGATCTCTGTCTCTCCTGAATGATCTTATAAATGAATTCAGGAAGATTCCATCTGGCAATGCATCCACTCATTCCACTCAAAATGATATCATTTTGCTGGAAAACAATATTTGTTGGTAATCCGCAAACAGAATTGAAATTACAAATGATATCTCCTGAGAAAATATCAATTATATTAACAATGGAACTGCTCATACCTACAGCAATGAATAAACCACTCTTGTCGACACTCAAACAAGTTGGTTTTTCATCTATCGAGAGCTGATATTTTCTGAATAAGAAACCATCAGAAATTCTCCAAATTGAAATAGATTTGTCCATTCCACAAGTGGCGACATATTTCTTATTTGGAAGAGGAGAAATAGACAAAGGCATATCATCAACATTGCTTGTCTTGTAAGGAACTCCTGTTGGTAGTTTTGCGAATCTGACGCCTTCTTTTGATGTAGAAATCAACGAACCACCGCAAAAACAAATGCTTGTAACAGGACTTGTATGTGTTGGATCCATTGCAATAACTTTGATTTCATCTTCTTTCTTGTATGAATAAATTCTTACAATGCCATCCAATCCACCTGTTGCCAAATATTTATCATTATCATCACAACAAATTGCTGTTGTTCCACGGCTTTTCTCTTCAATCCTTGTAACAATATCGAGTTTGTTATTTCTCATAACATGCAAAATACCATTGTTATCACCAGCAAATGTGTATTTTTCGCTTGCACAAACACATCTGATACCTTTTATTGATGTCAAATAATCATCACTTGCTTTGCAAAGATTATTTGAAGCAACCATGTGCTGGGATGATCCAGAAACTAAGTCTTGCTGCTTAATAATTTCCCATTTTCGGCAACTTCCATCAGAACCACCGGAAACCAAATATTTTTCATCGTTTCCTGGGCAAACAGAGAGACAACAAACAGGACCTCTGTGTTGTTGTATTGTTAACAATGGTTGTTTTCCTGGTCTTCTTGGATAGAAGATCATTGAGCCATTGTTGTAAGCAACACCAACAATTTTTGTTGAACAACAAACAGAAACAACTGGATATCCATCAGCAGAAAATTGTCCAAATAAAGCATGTTGTTGTGAATCACATTTAACAGCTAAAACAGAACCTGCATCTGTGCCAATTAATACAAGTTTTTCATCAACAACCATGCATTTTGTACTGCCACAGCCAAGAGTGATTTTGTTGCATTTTATCTGGCTCGAAAAATCAACACATGATCGCTCATAAGATAATAAAGTTCCATCATCTGTTAATGCATAAATTCTTCCAAAAGAATTTGAACAACTGTAGGCGGAAACAAAATTAGATGTCCTAAATTTGGAAATAGAAATTGAACGAGTTTTGAGGAGCTGAATTTCTTTATCTGACAAACCAACAGATGTATCAATGATCCTTAATAAACTAGGACCACTAACAATTGCGAAATTTCCATCATTAGAAAGAGAAATGTGATTTGGAACGCATTTAATGTGATATCGTCCAATTGCTTCAGGTTTTCCTTGCTTTATGTCCCAAAGAATAATAAATGGTTGCAAATCAACACCAACTGTTATTAGTTTTCCTGATTCGCTCTCGATATCTATTGCAGAAAAGCCATTTTCATCTGTTTTCTTTTCAATTTTGTCAACAATTTGGTCAAAATTCTCATTAAACGTTACAACATAAAATTTTGCGAAAGGCCCTTTGGTTCCAATAGCCAATTGTCGTCCGGTCCTTGAAAAAAAGATGACATCAATTTCATGAGTGTTATCTGATATCTGAAAATCATTTCTCTGCTGCTGATTTACTTTTACTACGGATACTATCCCTCCTGCAATGAATGCACAAACGCCTTGGCCATGATGCATAGTAAATTTTTGTCTGTCTATTGGGGAACTTCCAATCATCTTGTCTAATGCGGCATTTTGGTTGTATAAATTTGGATCTTCGCCATTAGGATTGATCTTTTCAGCTTCATTTAAAACAGACATAAAAGTATTTAGATAATCAAGAAAAGTGACAATTTTTAAACGGCAAATTTCTTCATTTATCGGCGTGACGCGCCGCTAGATAATTTATCATAGTGATTACTGTAAATTTGAGCGAATCCTATTAAGAATCAAAAAACCATTTCTAAAAATGTATTTTTAAAGACTTAATGATGATAGATTTCACTCAAAAATTTTCATATCATGTTAATAACAACACAATATAAATCAGAGTTATTTGGTTGGGGCAAATTGCCAATCTAATTGCGAAGCAACTATCTTTTCATTTTCAAAATTTAGAATATCGACAAAATCTGGGCCAATTATGCTTGGTATATGAAGAGCAATAATGGGTGCTAGCTAATTGAATGGCTTCCATTTGATTTCGAGATAAATTAACACCTTTTCCTCCCTTTCAATGAAATTGAAATAACTTTGGAGGAATATATATATACATGTACAATAGGGACGAATGCAAAAAGTCCAGTAGCATATAATATAATGCTTATATTTAGTAAAATTAATATAAAGTTGCCTCAAAATCTCGATTGAAAGGCATTGAATTTAGTTTTGAGAAGACTTTTTTTCATTTTGCGAATTATTAATTAGTATATCATTAAGATCATATTGTATTAAGTTATCAATTCTCTTAAATTTTGAAAGCTTAAGAAATTTAAAAGCACAAACAAATATATATTATTAAAATCATTGTATTGATCAATTTAAAAAATTTTGAAATTTTGAATTCGAATTTAAATGTAAGCTTTAATAGTTGTAACAGAATAGGAAGCATCACAGATGTCAATTTAGATTAATGAAAAGTTGAAATTTTTCCAATAAAATTTTATTAATGAAAAAAGATTCATGAAATACAATAATAGTAATATAGATATTTTATACAACATGTTATATAAGAGATCACTATAAATAGAATAGCTTTAAACAAAATAATCAAATCAAAATTTGTATTTGTAAACAGCAAGAGTGTTATATGCTAATATTATGTGTAACTACTCATTGGATAATGAATGCAATATAATACATTGATTTATTGGCTAAAGAAAAAAAATTATATCCTTCAATTTGGACAATCCGAAATTTTTCTCATTTTTTTGAATTGCATATATATGAATTTGCAATTGAGTGATATCAGCGAGAAACTTATATGCACGTTTAACTTTATCAGATTTCAAATGAAAACATGGATTTCATTGATTGTTTTTCAATACGAGCTCAACAAAAATAATACAAAGATGAATAAATAGTAGTGCCCCTAAAAACAAGGTAAAAAACAAAAAATTAGCAACAATAAACTTAATTTCGGCCAATATGGTGAAAAGTGAATATGTCAAAAACACTTACTCCATCATCTTGTTATCTGTACCTCACGACAGACGAATATAAAGAGATATCAATTTCCAAAATTTTACCAAAAAGAGATTAGGCCTAATTTTTACGGCCAATCTTTATTATTTGTTACACAGATGCTAGATCCACTACTCCCCAAAACAATTCATTTTTTGAATGGCCCTGTTTTTTAGGCCTTCATTTTATGAAAAATGCCAATATTATACGAATCTTAATATATTTATTTTTTTGTTCTCAATAAAGGTATTCAAAAGTCAATATAAACCATTCAAAATTGAGAGGAAATTCATTGAGAGGCTCGGAATTCGAGTAGTGAGGAAGGGTAAATTTTGAGAGCCAAAATTTCAAATCCCCTCAATATTTCAAAGCCCTTCTACTTAGATTTTGTGACTACCTTACATTTCAAAGCTAGATTTCGAGAAAAATTGAAATTGTGATTTTTTTGAGTGGCAATAATATTTGTAACTATATATAGTATCCAAATAATATATTATTGTTTATTCTGAAGTTTACGCTTTTTTTACAAGTTATCAAAAATATTTTGCAATATCTTGCATAACCCATTATTCGGTACCATTTTTAATTGAATGAAACCTAGCGGTCATTCAATTTATTGTGTCGATGATTCAAAAATTTTTCCAGCATTTTAAAAAAATTGAGGCGAAGCCTCAATTTTTTTAAAATGCTGAAATTACTTTAAATTCAATGTTGTGCGAAATGCTGAAAAATAATTTTCACTTATTTTCTTGAATAGTTTACAATACACAAATTATAGGTAAAATTAAATGTTTATATTATTTGCAATAATATCTCTCATTTTGATTAATTATATGGCGGCTTTGACGGTTTTTCACAAAAAGTCCAAATGGAATAGTGTATACTCCTTGAAATATTTAAAGCTCCTTGCACAGTAATCAAATGTATTGCTTTATTTCCACTTTCCTTCCCCAAAGGAATGGTCAGGATGATGATACGATCCCCAAATCGATATTAAAAATTTAAAATTTTGCAGATACGAAAGAAAAATCAGCAAAATTTACACAGTTGCTCAAATACCCTGAGCTCCTCTCAATTATTACATTATGCATTTAAATAAACACTTAATTTTTAGTATTTTATAAATTCTTTGTAGCTTGTAAACTATTCAAAAAATGTGAAATGTTTTTTTCACATTCTCTCAAAATTGAATAAAAAGTATTGAGAAAGTATTTCTGAATTAATTCAATCTTCTTACAAAGCATGTGAAATATGTTTCTCAATGATTACAAGTATAGTCTGGAAATATGAGTCTTTATTATTATAAATAAAAAATAAGGCGACCCGCTCTTGAACCTTTGCCTTTACGAAATTCTACATGACAGTCTTGTTGTAGCCCCATGTTCAACTAAGAAAGTGATAATATATTTTGCTTTAATTTTGATGGCAATATTAAGAGGGCATTTATTAATATCGAAAGAATTTCATAAAACAATGATAAATATGAAAAGAAAGAGAATGCGATTAAACTCTGATGAATATGAAAAGAAAGAGAATGCCATAAAATAATGATAAATATGAAAAGAAAGAGAATTTTATAAAATAATAATAAATATGAAAAGAAAAAGAATAAGATTCATGTTAACATCCGCACCATGCTCAACTAGGAATTGGACAATTTCTATTGAATTCGCTTTGATTGCAATACTAAGAGGGCATTTATTAATATCTAAAGAATTTCATAAAACAATGATAAATATGAAAAGAAAGAGAATGTAATAAAACAATGATAAATATGAAAAGAAAGAGAATGCCATAAAATAATGATAAATATGAAAAGAAAAAGAATTCTATAAAACAATGATAAATATGAAAAGAAAGAGAATGTAATAAAACAATGATAAATATGAAAAGAAAGAGAATGTAATAAAATAATGATAAATATGAAAAGAAAGAGAATGTAATAAAATAATTATGAATATGGAAAGAAAGAGAATGCTATAAAATAATGATAAATATGAAAAGAAAGAGAATGCCATAAAATAATGATGAATATGAAAAGAAAGAAAAATATATAAAATAATGATAAATATGAAAAGAAAGAGAATTCTATAAAATAATGATAAATATGAAAAGAAAGAAAATTTCATTAAATAATAATAAATATGAAAAGAAAGAGAATTTTATAAAATAATAATAAATATGAAAAGAAAAAGAATTTTATAAAATAATAATAAATATGAAAAGAAAAAGAATAAGATTCATGTTAACATCCGCACCATGCTCAACTAGGAATTGGACAATTTCTATTGAATTCGCTTTGATTGCAATACTAAGAGGGCATTTATTAATATCTAAAGAATTTCATAAAACAATGATAAATATGAAAAGAAAGAGAATGTAATAAAATAATGATAAATATGAAAAGAAAGAGAATGTAATAAAATAATTATGAATATGGAAAGAAAGAGAATGTAATAAAATAATGATAAATATGAAAAGAAAGAGAATTACATTAAACAATGATGAATGTGAAAAGAAAGAGAATGTCATAAAATAATGATAAATATGAAAAGAAAAAGAATTCTATAAAATAATGATAAATATGAAAAGACAAAAAATGTAATAAAATAATGATAAATATGAAAAGAAAGAGAATTCTATAAAACAATGATAAATATGAAAAGAAATAGAGTTTCATAAGACAATGATAAATACAAAAAGAAAGAGAATTCTATAAAACAACGATAAATATGAAAAGAAAGAGAATGTAATAAAACAATGATAAATATGAAAAGAAAGAGAATGCCATAAAATAATGATGAATATGAAAAGAAAGAAAAATATATAAAATAATGATAAATATGAAAAGAAAAAGAATTTCATAAAATAATGATGAATATGAAAAGAAAGAGAATTTTATAAAATAATAATAAATATGAAAAGAAAAAGAATAAGATTCATGTTAACATCCGCACCATGCTCAACTAGGAATTGGACAATTTCTATTGAATTCGCTTTGATTGCAATACTAAGAGGGCATTTATTAATATCTAAAGAATTTCATAAAACAATGATAAATATGAAAAGAAAGAGAATGTAATAAAATAATGATAAATATGAAAAGAAAGAGAATGTAATAAAATAATTATGAATATGGAAAGAAAGAGAATGTAATAAAATAATGATAAATATGAAAAGAAAGAGAATTACATTAAACAATGATGAATGTGAAAAGAAAGAGAATGTCATAAAATAATGATAAATATGAAAAGAAAAAGAATTCTATAAAATAATGATAAATATGAAAAGACAAAAAATGTAATAAAATAATGATAAATATGAAAAGAAAGAGAATTCTATAAAACAATGATAAATATGAAAAGAAATAGAGTTTCATAAGACAATGATAAATACAAAAAGAAAGAGAATTCTATAAAACAACGATAAATATGAAAAGAAAGAGAATGTAATAAAACAATGATAAATATGAAAAGAAAGAGAATGCCATAAAATAATGATGAATATGAAAAGAAAGAAAAATATATAAAATAATGATAAATATGAAAAGAAAAAGAATTTCATAAAATAATGATGAATATGAAAAGAAAGAGAATTTTATAAAATAATAATAAATATGAAAAGAAAAAGAATAAGAT